ACTAGGATTAAGAGGTGTATTCTCTTGAAGGTGATTGTACCTAAGCTAGAGTATGCAGGAGAGATATGGGAAGGTAACGAAAAGGCCGTCAAGCAGCTGGAAACGGTGCAGATGGCAGCGGCCAAGAAAATACTAGGATGTTCAAGCACAACGAGCAACACTGTATTGAGAGCAGAATTGGGAATGTACTCTCTTAAAACAAAGAGAGACATGCAGAAGTTGAAGTGGCAGTACAAGGTAAGTAGAATGTCGGACGATAGACTACCAGCCATGGTTGACGAGGCAGCTTGGGGAAAAGCGACTCCAGGGAAGAAGGGAATCAGATGGGACAAGGTGGTAGAGAAGGTTTGGAAGGAGATAGGAGACGAGGAGGAGACGTTGGACACGGAAGGGTTCGGGGGGTTCAAGACGAAAGTCAAGGAGATGCTAGAGAGTAGGGAGGAGACAACCCTTCGCAAGAAGGTACGAAGCGAAGACCACTTGGAGATATACGGGAAGTTGAAAGAAGGGATAGGGATGAAGAAGTACTTGGACGGCCCCATGGACTATGCGAAAAAGCTGAAATTGCAATTTCGAGTAGGCGATCTGGACTTGCCAGAACGGAGGAAGAGGTATACCAGCCGTAGGAGAGAGGAAGAGGAGGATAGACACACATGTCCATGTGGCAAATCGGAGGAGAGTAGACCCCACATAGTTGGGGAGTGTGAGTTGTACAGGAAGGAAAGAGAGGATCTCGAGGAGGAAATGAGACAGAGAGGGTGTGACATGGACAAGTTTGGTAAATTAGACAACAGCGAAAAAACGATCGCGATAATTGGGGATAGATGGTGGGCACAAGAGGCCCTAGAGGACGGGGATAAGATGTGCAAGAAATTTTTATGGAGTTTGTGGCAGAAACGTAAAGAGCTCCCAAATGTTGGTGGTGTCTCTAGTAGGTGTAGGAACGGTGCTCCGTCTCGAAAGGGACGCGTGGTCAATGGTCAAATGACTACGGCAAGCAACAAATGAGTACGCCCCCCCCCCCCCCCCCCCGTACGCCTATCACCGTACTGGTGTACCTCCAAATGGGCCTCCCTGCTGAAGTTGGTGAAGTGCTGCATGATGTCCATCTCCTTCTTGGTCTTGATCACCCGGCATTCCACGATGGCGTCCTAAAGGGTGGTCCAAAAATCCGTCTCCAGCCCGTCCAGCCCCTCTACCCTGGGCGGAGCGGACCAAGCCTTTGCCGTCCGTGTTGTAGCCCTTGTTGAGATACACCTGCGGAGACGAAAGCCAACGAGTGTTGGGAGCATATGGGTGCTTGCTCTACAAGTGCCGCTTGGACATCTGCCCTGTTGATGGTTCATGGAGGATGAGGTTGTACCGGGGCTCTTACAATGTAGAACGGCAGCGGCCCGCGACACCTTCGTGGTTGCTTTTCTTTCATCAGTCTGGGTGCACTTGGCCAAGAAATGACGGGCATGCTCTCTGTTGCATGCAGAGATTCTGCGCTATAATCCCGCCCCGTAGCTATCTACTAATAGAGGTGATTTTCGTTCACTACTGGAAACATGACGGATGTCGCTATATCTCGCCTCACCTTTTCCGGCTGTCCCTCTTTGATGGTGGAGGCCAGCTCGTCCACGAAAAGCACCTGGTCCACTTTGTACATGTCCTGAAAGCGGCAACGTTTTCAACGTACTCGTACAAGTAAGGGAGGAGTCACGACGTCTTACGGCGAGGACCGCCTACGCAGGATTTTAAGAGCATCTAAAAAAAGAATAGGGAGGGGGCACGCAGACCCTATCCCTGACTCTAACCCTAACCCTAAACCTAAAGCACGGATTGAATGCTTTATCCCATATGTTTGCTTAATCAATTTTGCTGCGTAGACTACTACGGCGAGCACGGGGGGGTACGGTCAACTCTGAAATCGACCGCTCATCTTGTGACAGCGACAAAAGTTCGGTCAATGTTCGTATGTGTAAGGTCATGACCAGAAGGAGAGACAACGCTTCTGCGCATGCGTATACTGTTGGTGCAACGCTCCTTCACACAGCTGTTGCATGCATCGAGGGTGAACTTGGAGGTCTACAACATGGCCACCCGGAGACCTTCATGCTGATTGAGGCGACTCGATGAACCGTTCGACACATGAGTACTGAATGGTAATATGAACCATTCGTCAATACCGAGAATGGGTCTGCTGCAGAATGGATTAGGCAACACCAAGCACACAATCCTTCAACAGTGAGACTACCAAACGTACACCACCCGGCCGCCCTGCCGTGTCTATGGTACATCGTACCTGGAAGTGCTTCGGGGGAAGGATGTCGCCCATCCACGTCGCGTACTCCGCGGGAAGCCTCGGGATAAAGAGAGTCGCCTTCCCCGTCTCCAGGTCGATCGTCGCGAGGCAGTTGGGCTCCCTCACCCCGAACAGGTAGTGGAAGGTCGACTCCTGCCGGAACACCGGCTCGTGGTCCGTCTCGTCTCGGTTCGCGGCAAGTCCGCCGCGGAGCAGCAACACCCCGCGCGGCGCAACTCCGTCTGTTTCGCGCAATCTGTTGATAACCTTGCCCCGGTTCTCGGCGTGCATGGTGTAGTCCACCGGGTACTCGCCCACCGTCGGGTGCAGCTCTAGGGCGGGCATCTCCGAGGGCACCCTAGGGTTCTTCTTCGACCTCTTGGCGGTTGCGCCGATGGTCTCGGGCAGGAGAGGGATCAGGGGAGGAGCGGAGGAGGAGGAGGGTGAAGTTGACGTTGAGGAAGTCGTCATCTGTGCTGCTGCCGGCATATTCTCGGTTCTGACACTGCCAGAGGGAGGAGGGAGATGGAAGGCTAGATATGACGGCGCAGGGAGGAAGAGTGCAGCCGCAACAGCAGAGACAACACGAGGGGGCATCAAACCACTGGTTCAGTTCATACGAGCGGCGAAGGAGGTGCGTGTTGGTGCCTGCTCTGGCGCTCTGCAACGAAGGGGGTGACGCTAATGGGAATGTACTGGGGGTTTCACGACGTAGCGGAGGCGGGGTGGTTCGGGGATCCCCAGTCTGTGATTGTGCGAAAGAGCGATCTTTTCGGGTTCCCTCTTGAGGCCTTCACAACAGATCTCACAGCAGTCCACAGGCCGCTGTGTATCTCCTGTACCCCTCTGGCGTTGAACCCGCCGGAAAAACTGCCCGTAAGATCTCGAGTACCAATGTCGGGCAAGCTGGTTCGGAAAAAACAACGCAACTTCGAGGACGGCACACGATACGATGGCGGATGGGAGAGAGGATTGTTCCACGGCCAGGGAACCTTGACATGGGGTAGGTTCAAGGTTAGCGGTGATAATTTCCGATAAATTGGCAATCCAATGGACGGTATGTGGAGCTGCCAGTAGCACGTTCTCTCTTTGCTGTGTGTGGGACAAAGCACATTCTCATACATAGATACAAGAAAAGAACATGGCTGTACCACCGGCTTGTATGTAGAACCAGAGGTTTCAGGACATAGCTACATACATACCACAACGGTCCTCTCACACTATTCATTCATGCGCACGCCGTTATACGCATTCAATGCATCTCACGCTCATTCAGAAGTGTACTTCACGAGGTTTGTCTGCATACACAGGTGGACGGCGACCCCCCTTCCCCAAAATGTCGGATGCCTTCGTCCCCTTGTGGAGACCTTGACAAGGTTGAATACCTTGGAGAAGACAACCAAGGCCTCGAAAGGGGAGAAATCGAGGTATTTTTGAGGACTTGGTTGTCTTCTCCAAGGTGTTCGACCTTGTCACGGTCTCCACAAGGGGGCGAGGGCATCCAACATTTTGGGGAAGGGGGGTGGACGTCCACCTGTGTATTGTTTGCGAAGAGAAGCTACGGCGAGGCCCTGCTGTTTGTTGTTGACACTTCGGTCTCTGCATAAAACATCTACAAGTAGTCCAGGCTCTAGAATGCATATATTTGCGCTCTAGACTGTTCATCCCGTGCTTTGATTTTTCATGTGTGCGTTGCTGTTGTTCGTGTGCGCATGGCCCGTGCTCAAAGCGAATGGCTGCGTATACGAAGGTGGTTTCCGTCGGGGAGAGCGCCATGGAACCGGGATCTGCACCTTCCCGGGAGGAGAACGGTATGCGGGTGCCTGGGACAAAGGGAAGATGCACGGAGAGGGAACTCTCGAAATCAAAGGGAGAACGCTTACTGGAGTCTGGAATCAAGGGTGCGTGGTAACGCATCTCCTTACTTTCGCTGTCTCGACGCGTCCTAAACAAGACTACGCGTGGTACTACTTACTGGGATCACCAAGGACGTTGTGGGGTGATTGCAGCTTGCGTTGAGTCGACTGTCGCTGCCAGAGGCTCGAACTCAAACCGCAGCCGATCCAAATACATAGGTTGTCATGTCAAATTTCTACAGTATCCTTCACCTATTAGGCGTGCCTGCCGTCGGAGGGTTCACACGATGATGGTTCTACTCCACTCAACCGACACGCCCGTGTACCCCTTCCGCAACCGATCAATCACACCCTGTTTCGAAAGGGTCCCTGACTTCAACCCCCCCGTCGATGGCTACAAGCGTTTCGTGTTTCCTGACGGAAAGGGCGTGTACGACGGGCACTGGAGGGGATACAAGCGTCATGGCCAGGGCTCGTTTGCCTTTTCGAATGGTGACGTGTACGAAGGTGGGTCCAGTCGTTGTCTTTTTCAGACGAAGCAAAGTGACCACCCGGAATAGATGCTGTCTTCCTGGGGGTAGGTAGGTTGTGCTTATAATAAGATCCTAAGGACATTGGCACTTCACGGCATCGTGATATTCACGGTACCCATTGAGACGGCATCGTTTTTACCCATTCATTTTTTTTTACCCCGATATCCTCTTGCCGGAAACGTTCTTGAAGGCCAATGGTCCCACGGGGAGATGAACGGCGAGGGAAAATATCAGCACGCTTCTGGGGAGATGTACAAGGGACAGGTCTGAAGCGTCGACCACTACTGCTGTTGACTAGAAACATAATACAGCAACGACAAGTAGAGTCTCGTGGGAATGCGGGAAGTCTTGCTGATGACTGCTGTGGCGTGAATCGGAGTAAGGGCCGGGAAAGTATCGTAGTCTGGATCCTAATGTAGCGTGGAAAGGGGAGGTTACGGTCTACGCATTAATTTGGAGCTCTTGCTGTACAGGATCTGGAGATACCGCAACGAAGATGCAGCGTGGAGTGTACAGGTAAATGAAGAGACACCCAACCCCGACACGATACCTGTGCCTCATATACCCATTCGATTTCCCAAACATACCGGCTTGGGCATCAGTCCCACATCATCGAGTCACGCTGCGTCCGATTAAGGTAGTTACGACGAAAGTTCCTCTCGAAAATCGTATAGTCCCAACCTTGCTCGTTGGAGTTGACAGCTAGCTGTGTCCCTCCAATTCATTCCGTCTTTTTCATGCCTTCGATTCCCGTGGATCTACGATCACCTTGGGTTTAGTTCAAGGACGGGCGCATGCACGGACAGGGGACCTACTCATGGCCCAGCACCAGGCAGTGCTACACCGGGAAGTGGAAGGAAGGGTTACGGCACGGCCACGGCCGCCACGACTTTCACTCGAGCTCCGCGGGTGACGACTGTGACCCCGAGACGAAGACGGGGGGGGACTACTACGACGGAGAGTGGAAGGAGGGCGTGATGCATGGCGAGGGGGTTTTCGTGGACGCCGGGGGCGAGAGGCACGCTGGCCTGTGGGTGGACGGAATCTGTCCGGAGGTGAGTAACGGGGAGAACGCGCAGCATTGCGGAGATAGATGGGCGTTGTAGAATAGCACCATCACGAATGGTTGTTCACGATAAGACAACGTTCGCGGTCTCGCTATAGCGTGAAAAACACTGCCTTCTTTGTGTGTGTGTTGCTGCCTTTATTTTTGTGTACTGTGACTAGCTGTGGTAAGGATTGAATCGGTACTCTTGCTGATGATCTCCGCTTCCGTGATTCCCACCCACGAGCCTCAGGTGGACTTCTCACACGTGCCGGAGGGCAGCGGCAACTTCCGATACAGTTTTTCGGTAAGGGAACAAGTCTCGGGAGGCAATCGCAATACATAGTTGTTGTTTGGCAGGGGACCATGGGCATACCCATCATCAGCAGCGTGATGCACGTCGGCGGCGTGTGTTTCAGACCGAGGGTGTTCGAACCTGCGCGGAATAAGTCTTTTCGTTGAAATATGGCAGGAGAGCCGGTTCAGCTTTGTCACGAGGATGGTGGCGATGATGACACCGACCAGCACTGCCAGTGACCCGGCAGCGCGGCTGGTACGAGATCCGATTTGTAGCTTAGCGAGAAAGATAAAGTTAAGGTGCGGTCAGGGGTCGAGAATATGGGGTGGTAATACTTGTATTTCTCAAATCTCAGCGGAGAGATTCCTTCGTCGTTTGTCACGCACCGTCGACGCCTGTCCTTCCTATCGCGTCAGGGTGGCACGTACGAAGGAGAGTGGTTGAACCGAGCGCCACATGGACAGGGCCGGATGGAATACAGCGATGGCACCGTGTACGTCGGGGGCTGGCAGGATTTCAAGTTTCACGGCTACGGCAAACTCGTTCAAAGGGGGGTAGTGTTCGAGGGGGAGTGGTCGGAAGGGCGCATGCACGGCTCTGGCAGCGCTGGGGCAGTACCCGAAATTAATGATGCAAGGGTTGATGTTGTCGGGGAGCAAGAGCTTGCCGTGGAGAAGTAATAAGTGTACCTACCCATGGTCCTTGAAAATTGAGGTCGACACAAGGTTGAATGTCTGCCGTTGCAGCAATGCTTCGAGGGAAAGCAACTCCTCTCTATTGCGATTGAGCCCTATCTGGGCAAATTCACTGCTCAGAAGTATCGGAGAGGAAACGTGGCAATGAAACGACATTCGTGTGCCACCGTGCGAGGGATGTGTGAATGCACGGGCGTGTCCTTGCGTTCTGCTTTCTCGCGGACAAGGATGAGAGTCAACGTTATGTCGTTATGCAATGTAGAGAAGCTGCGCGGCATGCAGGTAATACTCTCATTTTAGTACTTTGATAGATAATTTTTTTTGCGCGGGGTCCATGTTGGCCCACCCCCCCCTGGACCTGTCGCAGCTGGGTGACAGACACCTACACACCTACCTGACGGGCGATGGCGCTGCGGCCTTGTGAAGTCGCGAGCATTGGTCGTAAAACTGCAGTCTATACCACAGATTTGTACCAAGTACGTTTTTCTTTTGGTTCGGTGAGGTTCGCCGGACTCCTCGAGTCAAAAACACGTCCGGTGTGCTAGCTATTCGAGCTCGGCAAACTAATTAATCGCAGCTGGCAGTTGATTCACACCGACACACGCCCTTCACTTTCTTGGACACGCTATTATTGCACTACTACCATCTGATGATGAACCTACTCCGAAGGCCCGCCTTGTAACCTCTACAACGGCGTTCTTTCGGGCTCTGAATCTTGGGGGCGGGCTCTTCAAATACGAACAATATGGTGCGTGATTCTGATGCGTTCCTTGTAATGGCATGGACGTTCATCGCGTGATGGCAGTGGACCGGTACGCGAGGATGCTCGGTTGCAAAGCCTGGACGAAAACAATAATTGGATATTGAACCCATCAATTGCAAGGCGAACAGCGAATACGCGACGAGATACGCTTTACTGTCGTTTCTTCTCCTTTTACGAATCCGGGTTTCTGGTGCCTTTTTAGCGCATTATCGAAGATAGTTATCTGTGGACTGATCATCAGTCAAGGGGCACATGCTTTGGTCGTCGTTTCACTACGGCCCTGGAGAATACTGCTGTGTAGGTGACTCCTGTATGTAGACACCAGACTAAATCTCCTGTGAACACATGCTCGCTCCGTGTTTCCCACCCCGCTTGTAGATCTACAGGGCCGAGGCCTGTTCCATCCAAGCTGCCTACGTTTGTATTGCACAGCTCCAACAGCTCACCTCCTGCGATCGTTCGGTCGAGCTTGCTTTTTCGACGATCATAGACTCGGCAGGCTGACAGAAAATTGCAACATGTTTTGGATATTTTGGTTGATGTTGGTTTACAGATCCTAGAGATACCTGACCATGCTCCAGCGTAAGGACGCTTCTTCTATAGACCTAGACTGATGGGCGAGAAGAGCTTCGTGGGCACCTCTGCTGGGGGCATCGACTAGATGATCTGATGTACATCCTGCTACTGCTGTATGCATACAAACAGCGATACGTCGCTCGTCCAACCCGTTCTCCACCACCCCGCCCCCCCCAATGTGAAACGCCGCGGATAACGCCGCGCGAACCGCTCAGGCTTTATTGCGGCGCAACTTGGGTTCATCAATCGGCCCCATGGCATAAGGTGCTCTACCGTGTACACGTAGTGCACTGAACGTGTCGGCAGTCCACTTCAGTGTCTCAAATCCTCCTCCCCGTATGTTCGTCAAGAACTCCCTGGCTGGCAGAATCTTTCCCACCGGCGTATCACTTTTAGGTTGGCACGGCAAGGTTGCGTTTCGACAGAGGATTGGGGCTGCACTGGCAACCGCCGCCGCTGGGGCTTCAACACCAACGTTGACGACTATGGCGACTACGCCGGCAACGTTGTTCATTTCGAACAAATTTCGGGAGGCAAGGTGAAAGGTGGTGGGTTGAAGATGTGCGAGTCGCACATGCAACCAAGGGTTCCACGTCAGAAAAGTGCCCTGTACACAGGTTCCCACAGTATGTGTGCCCTGACGTAATTCGAACATCTTGTCAGTACAGTACATGTAGTAGTTTTAAACATCTTGTTGTACAGAACGCGCCACCACTTAAGAACCGCTTATTTAGCTTGAGGCTCGACGCTTATTGGTTACCTCCAACCGAGCACATGTTCTTATTTTCCAAGTTCTTATTTGGGGCAGGTATCCACCTATGGTAAACGAGGTTCTTGTTCTTATTTCTATACCCATTGCCGTATGCAGAGGACACAGACAGGTCTTTCTGCGTGGATTTCATCACGAGACACTGCTGCTGTAAGAGTACAATGTAGCCGTAAAATCGCCCCCTAGGTGGCAGTGCCGCATGTACGGTATGGGAGAGGAGAGGTTGCCGAGAAAGGCTTAGGAGGCGAAGTGGACAAACAAGAAGAATTGGTGTACCAACCTACGGAGTGAGTTAATGATGACGCATGGAAGGGGGTCCAACTTGACAAAGGTGATACACTGGAGAGGGGAGGTCTAGAGGGGTTCAAGGAGAAGATATCTGTTGTTGCTTTGGCGAGAGAGAAGGACAGGATCAAATCAAAGAAACCAAGGACACGGAGGGTCTCGATGTGTACGGAATATCAAAGAAGGAATATATTTTACCTACATGGAGGGCCAACGGATGCATAGTCAAAGCTGAAGGTCAAACCTAGGACTGGGGATGTTGGCCTTTGAGAACGTAGACGAAGATTGAGGAAGGTAGACGATGAAGACGACAAACCCAGGTGTGATTGCGGCTCCGAGGGCGAAGACCATCTTCATGTACTTGCGGAATGTCCGTGGTACAAGAAGGAGAGGGAAATGTACATGACTGAGCTAGCTGGGAAAAAAAGTAGAAGGAAAAAGTACAGAAATAAAGACAATTGACGAATGTAAATAGCCAGGAGAAGACGGTAGCCGTACTGGGGCATAGGAAATGGGTTGAAAATAAGGTGGAAAGTGATACCGATGGGAAAACATGTTTCACCGACCTTTTTGGCAACGTAGGAAGGAACGATTGGCCATCGGTGATCGAACCTGTGGGAACAATGCTCCGTCCTGTCGAGGACGCGTGGTCAACGGTCTAACCGCCAGGAGAAAACGGTGGTAGCTGTACTGGGGCATAGGAAGTGGGTTGAAAAGGCGGGAAGTGATATCGATATAGGGTAGATCGGCTAGGGAGAACATGGTTTGGCCACGTTTGACAAAGTACTTCGAAGTGGGAAGGAACGATTGGCATCAGTGATCCTGTTGGAACATGGATGCGTCCTCTCGAAGACGTTGGTCAATTGTCCTACCGCTAAGGCATGCGAACATGAAAGAGAGTACGCTCTCCCCCTCCGCGCGTACAAGAATTCATCACGAGGTCCTCTCTCTCCCCCCCCCCCCCCCCTCCAAACAAAAACTAACTGCTGTTTGGGTCACCCCCAGCCTCCTGAGTTCTTATCTTGCAGCCGCCGCGTTTTGGGGCTCCGTTCTTATCTCTATGCGCATTGGTACACCGGGCGGGTTCTTGTTCATAACACAACGTCGGAACTGAGCATATGTTCTTATGGCCAAGTTCTTAGATTTTGGATTGTTTGGGGCTCAAGTTCTTAAATGCTAAGTTCTTAAGTGGTGGCGCGTTCTGTATCCCAGTTAAACATTTATATGGTGGCGCGTTCTGTATCCCAGTTAAACATTTATATATTGTAGTTGCATAGTCATCATCACATGAAAGATTAATTGCTGTAGATGTACAACCTCGAACCCTCAGACTATAGTCACCCTGGGTAGTTTCTTGAAGAGTTGACGCCGGGTGCGATTTCTAACGTGACCCTAGGGCGACAAGCTGTACCGTGCTCGCGCTCGACAATCAGGGGGGTGTGACAACAGCGTGACGTGATAACAAAGGGCATGATACCGTTCCTTTCCAAGACTGTTGGTGACAGTGAAGGTGTGTGTGACAACAACGTGATGTGGTAGCGAAGGGCGTGCTGTTGCTGGCAGTTTAAGGGGGCGGTGACGACAAAGGAGGTGATATCGTAATCCTTCCAAAAAGACTGTGTTTGCTTGTTGCTGGCAGTAATGGGGTACAAAGTCGTGTGTGGTGGTGTTCCCAGATGAATGGTTCATGTACCGGCTTGATCCCGCGCAGTGCCGGTGGAGACTAAAACAGGAGCGGTGGCGGGCTTTTGTGGTCTGAGTGGTGTACTCCCTTGCACCCACCGCTGCCTGCTGGACCGCAAGCTGAGCCATTTCCCTAACGAACGCATATCGCACGTTCGCCTCCTCAACCTGACAGGGAGGGAGCTACGTTCGAAGTCCTCAACCCTGCGACGGAAACGGTTCTTTCGGTTTGCGCCAACGGGGGGGAAGAGGACGTCGACGAGGCCGTCAAGGCGGCGCGCGCGTGGTAAGCCCCGCAACGACGCCGGGTCGATGCTCCTGGTGTGAGGCTGACCATATTGACACCGTCTCTGTGTGATGCAGAGCACTTCGTCACTAAATCAGAAAACCTATGCTAAAGCCTGGGCGGGAATGTGTGTCGGGACTCCCGCGTGGTACGATGTCTCGAAAAGACGGCATGTCGACAGGCCTTGTATGTGTCTGACTGGTGCGTTGAAATTTTGTCGGCGCGTGTCAGAGCATTTCTTTACTAGGGTTCAGAGCATTTGCACTAAAGCCTCTGCGGCGACTGTGCTGCAGAGCATTTCTTCACTCCAAGTTCAGAGATTGTGTTCTAATGCCTCGGCGGGAATGTGTATCTATTTGTTTTCAGAGGTCTCGGGCAAACCGCTGTGTTTTGTTGTGCTTGCAAGAGTTGGTCTCTAGACTGCTTTGTCGAGAGGCTTCCTGGTATTTGTTTGGATCGTTCTTCTTTTCTTCAGTTTTTAGTGTTTTTTTCCGTGTTCATAGTGCATCTGTTCTCGATGTTCAGAGACAGACCCGTTTGGGAACAGTCAGGGCCTTCCTACATGTGATTTTCGGGTTGGATCGGTGACTTGTCGTAGAGAGAACATCCTGTTTTCTGACACGCGCCGTTTACTCTCGACTGCTCATTGTTGAGGCACGCTGTTCGGGGCAGTCGTCCGACATGACCTCGTTGGAGACACGAATGGTATATCTTCGCCGCTGATGGCAAACAGAGATCGATAGACGATCGCAATGGAAATATCGAATGTTTTTTCACTGAAATGGGTTTGCACGGAGGAGACGGGCACCCGTTTCCCCTAGTTTCCTCGACCTGCCACATCGGGCGGTAATTTGTTTGTTCTTACCAATACATAACCAATTCATCTATATCGGCAGGAAAGAGCCCGGGAAAAATTAGCAGTGGATTCATTACCTTTGCTTGTGCTGCCGTTCGTATTTGCCACGATTCACAGCTTCGAAGGACCCTCGTGGGGAATGAGCAGTACCGGCGTGCAGCGTGGGGGCTGTCTGAGAGCTCTGGCTTCAGCCATTGAGGATGACAAAGAGGTTGGACTTACACTTGGCCGATAGTATCATGCTCATAGAGATAGGGTTGGGATCTTACGGTGGTAGGATCAGGGTTGGGAATGAGATGATATGGACCCTAACCTATCCCCATTGAAGACGACAAGCCTAGGGTTAGACTCCAAGCACAGAGAAAATATGGGATCGATCCCCATCCGAATCCCAAGAGCTGCACAGCAGCAGTGGCTTCATCGGACATGAGTTCAGGGATGAAACGAGAGAATGCAAGGATGTACATGCATCTGTCTTTAGACGGGGATGCATCAGTCAGAGGATGGTGTTTCGTGATGACCCATCATATTGTCACATCGTCCAACTCAAGAAACTCAAGCGGGTTTGGTGAATCACAATTAGGGCCAGACAGCGTAGGTAGGTGGATGGCGGAACCTTGAGTGCTGCAAGAGATTGATTGTTCATTGCCCAAAGCTTTTGTTCCTGCAGGTGCACACGTTTCCCCAACTGGCTAGACTTTTAGTGCGCAACAGTCTCGTCCTCACTTCTCCTTTTCACTCCCCCTTCCCCTCTCCTCGAACTGCATCACCTGTTGCGGGGCCTGGTTTTCGCTTTGCACGTGTAGGCGTTTGCCCTTGCGGAGACTCAAGACACGGGCAAGCCTATCGAAGACTCAGAGGGCGAGATCGACGAGGCCATTGACTACCTCAGGTGGAAATCCCGGCCGCAAAGAAGCCATGTTCTTGCGCCTTGAATCTAAAAGTTGTTCATTGGGTACTCCGAGGTGTTTCGAGACTTGTTTTTGTCGTCGACAGCGACACGTCATCTGGCGCAGCCTAAGGAAACGGAATTGTGCGTGCTCCTTGTTAAGTGCAATTTGGCAACCATCGACCTAAAATTCAACACAACGAACACGCATTACCCTCCCCTCGTGCTCGCTGTTGCTCAGGTACTACGCAGGTCTGGCGGAGGGTCTCGACGAGGAAAGCCCCGAGCAGCTGAAAACCCCCGACTACAACCAGAACTTTCGGACTCGAGTGGTTCGCGAGCCGATAGGAGTGGTGGGCGCGATTACACCTTGGAACTACCCCCTCTGCACGGCCGTGAACAAGGTGGCCGCCGCCCTGGCCGCCGGCTGCACCGTCGTCCTGTGAGTGTTGGCCCTCCCTCCCTTGTTTGCTTGTCGCTTTGATTGGGGCGTGGCGTGGAAATACACCTCTCACATCTGTGGGCTACTGGACCTCCGTACGCTGCCACTGCTGTGCCGTACGGTACTGCGATAGTTTCGTTTGCGTCTGCCGGAAACACCTGGTTTGATGTTGTGTACACTAACTGGTCGTCGTGTTTGTGGTGGCACGGCATTGCTGACTAGTATATGCGAAAGAGTCGACCAGAACCGGCGGTAATCGATTCGGCACACCCGGGATGGTCCGGTGCAATCCATCTTGTCTGGGTGAAAACCCGGCATTCGTCTGTAGCATGTTTCCCCGTGGAAAAAGGGAGTTCGGTTGATTGGTTGGGAAGCCAAGGAGCGACGGTAGAGAAATGCACATAGATGCGAAGAGGGTCGACGTTAAGAGATCAAGAAAGACGGAGGAAAACGAAAGTCGTATCCCAGTACACGTATGCATATTACGCTCCCTGTCCTATCATCCCTTCCATGGGCGGTAGTATTGTTAGCTTGTTTTAGATATCCTCTGTCGGATCGTCGTATGTAAACCTGGAGCGCATCGCTTTCGTTGCGAGAAAATCGTGGAGAGCTGGTGTCAAGATAAACCTGTCGGTGTCATGTTCCCTTGCGATCTTTCGCGGTTGCTTCCGCGCCACCGCCGCCCGCACGACGCTTCAACACTCAGCGCCCCCCGTTTTCGATACGCAGGCCGGGCCCGGAAGTGGACGCAGGTTCTTCTCGCAACACTTGCTCCGCCTTACACATCTTCTGCTGGGAATTGATGCTGCGAAAGGGCAGTGCAAAAGGGCAGCATCGAAACTTAGCACGTCATGCGTTTCGCGCGGTTGTTGTGCTTGGCCAGAAACCCGTCCGGACTGTCATGTTTTTCTTGCGTTTTTTTGTTGTTGGCCAGGAAACCGTCAGAGCTGGCTCCTTCCACGTGCCTCCGGATGGCCGGACTCGCGGAGGCGGCCGGCTTCCCGCCCGGTGCCTTGAATGTGGTGACCGGCGAGGGGTTTCCTACCGGGGATGCGTTGTCGAGACACCCGGGGCTGGACAAGGTGTCCTTCACGGGGTCCGTCCCGACGGGCCAAAGGTAAGCATAAGGGCACTAAGAATCACATTTGTACGCGGCGGGTTCGTGCTTTTTGTGCGGCAGGCAGGTTCATGCTTCCTGAGAAAGTCCTGGGCGTGAATCAACTTTGGTAGTGCTTGTGCAGGAGAACTCGGACGTGCTGATGCGTGTGTCGTGATTCGGAGAAGGTTGAAGTTGTTCGGGTCATGAAACGGAAACGACGTCTGCGTTGTCGAAACATCGGATGTGCGGTGCACGGGTTGGTGGTGTCGTTAGCACGGTCGGTGCTGAAAGGCACCGCTCGACGTTCGCGGTAGGTATTGCTGAGTATCATGCGGGGCAACTGTCTGCTTTTGGATGGTAAATATTAGCGGTTGTGGGGGTTCAGTAAGGAATGCGGTTAACAAGGAGACTCTCCGGGGATGCGTTCGAAGAAAACACCTTCACGCGCGGGATCGACGCTGTTGTAGTGGCGGCCAAAGGAAGGAGCAGACTTTTTCACCAGGTGTGCACGATATGTGGTTTCGGCTGTACGTACAACACTCCGCACAGACTACTTGAGAGTCCCGTTTCAGCAGAGAAGGCGAAAAGGTATGTAGATAGTTTCCTCATCGGGTGTTGAGGGGGAGGCACGGACACAGCTTGATTGCTATTCGATGAGCAGCCAGCGTGCTACAGCAGCAACGGTATGGATCGAGGGCTGCAGGCCAACAGAGGGATTCGTGCCTGGCGGCCCCGGGAGTTCGCGGCCCACTGAAAAACAGCCAAACGTTTTACGACGAGAACGCCTCCCTGAACTTCCTCCACGTCTTGAAGGGTCATGGCAGCAGCGGCGAAGGCAGGGCCGACCGACGTCCACCTCGAGCTAGGCGGCAAGAGCGCCATGATTGTGTTCGACGACGTGGAAGAAGTGGAGGCGGCCGTGGACTGGGCGTGCGTCGGGATTTTCTCCAACTCCGGCCAGGTCTGCAGGCGAGTACTAATATCGTACGCCCGATTACTCTGCGGCACAACAAATGGCGACAGCGTCGACAGCGGCGGCGTTAGAACTGTCTGGTCGAGAGCTTGCCAACAATTTAGCATTCGATTGTGGCACCCTTGTCGTCGTGGAGTAATCGAGCTTTAACAAATCGACACAGGGGGTGTGGTATCTTACGCAACCTAGACGATATGTTGCTAAATGGAGACGGGGGGGTACGACAAGAAAACTTCGGCGTTTTCATCTGTGGCTGCGTGAACGTGTCGAGGGCGTGAGCCCCGCGAACATGTAGATGTCGTGCTCATGTGCATATTATTGCACCCATTGACCATTAGGGACAAGAGGTGTTCTGGGGATTGTCCGGTTTGGCGGTTTCCAGTGCATTCAAAGCGTTTCGCGCTGAAACGAATGTCTTGTTACCCCCCCCCTTCCCTCCGCGGCATCTACCGCGTGCTTCTTTTTCAGCGCGACCTCTCGACTGCTAGTGCAGTCGAAGATCTACGACCAGGTTGTCTCATCGGTCGTAGATCGAGCGTCACGCATTTCCGTAGGAGACCCCATGAGGAGGGGACGTGATGCCCCCGGCCCCTGCATGGGTCCGCTCGTGAGCGGCCCGCAAAAGGAGAGGGTCCTTGGATTCGTTACACGGGTAAGCGCGGGCACACACGTACAGGCGCTGCCCCCCCTTTTGACATATTCTGTCGCATGCCTTAAGCACACGAGGGGTGTGTTGTTGTTTGCTACGGCGCTGCGCGTGAGCTGCTGCTGCTGCTGCCGCCGCCATGGCTGTGTTTGTTGTTGTGCCCGAAGTCCGATTTACGTGCGCTTAGAAGGTCCCACGTACGCGATAGGCGCGCACTTGCTAGACCGCGTCTTTGTTCTTGATGTTATCCCTCACACTTGTCTGAGTGATAGTGTCTCAGCAAACGATTCGCGCGTATGCTCAAAGTGTCGCTGACCCGCGACGGTAGTTGAAGAAGAAACGCTTGCGGGGCCGAAAACAAGAGATCTGTGCAGCCGCGACATGCCATCGATTACTGCTACCGAGCAGTCTCACTCTTGATAATTATCCTCCTCATAGCCAACGTCGTTTACTCCCATCCCTGCAAACCATTGGTCCTCACCCGTCCAGGCCGTGGAAGGCGGAGCGACGGTTATCTCAGGTGATGGGGCCGACAGAAACGCCGCCGTGCAGAAACCCGCCGTCGGATACTACGTGTCACCGACCATCCTTTCGGAGGTGTCTGACGAGAATGAGGCCTGGGACGCTGAGATTTTCGGGCCGGTGAGAATCTTGGTCCGCACCGTTTGGGTTGTCTGTGGCACCGAGATGTAGACCGTCTTTGGCAGCATTTGGTCGAATTTCCGCGAAAACCTCGTACGTTTTTTTTGTTTGCTCATGGCGAACGTGCGTGCTTTGCGTGTTTCTTTTATTGGACAAGGCGATCGACATTACACAACACGCAAGCGCCATGGGGTTTGACAAACGGTTTTAACCGCCGTGAAAGTGGAAACGTGTCTGTTTCTTCCTTGTCCGTTCGCGATAAATCGGATGGTGGATGGCCTCGCTATTTTTTCTTTGCGTTTTTTTTTCCTACAATCAATCCAGGTCCTCTGTGTGAGGCGTTTTGAGGAGGAAAGCGAAGCTATCGAATCTGCCAACCGCTCGGAGTTTGGCCTGGCGGCTTCGGTCATGTCCTCGGACCAAGAGCGGTGGGTGCATACTGACACACGCAGCTTGTTGAGGTCAAATCTTGACCCTTTATTGAAAGGCTAGCTTCCATGCTTTCAGGACAACGAGATGCCTAGACGCAGGTTTCCCGATCGCCCGCTTCCAGCATGCCAGGTAACCTTTTCTTCCTCATCTTGCAACCAACCCAACCCAACTTATCCCTCCACTGCCACCAAACGCGCAAGCCACCTTTTCACGCTTATGCCCCCGTCAAAGTATAACGCCCCCTCTTTTGCTGCTCTTCCCGCTTTTCGTTATCAGGTGCAAGAGAGTTTCCAGAGCGTTGCGGGCCGGAGTAGTCTGGGAAAACTGCAGCCAGTGCGCCCCCGTGGAGGCCCCGTGGGGAGGCTTCAAGAAGAGCGGGGTCGGGGGACGCGAGTTGGGGCGATGGGGCTTGGACGAGTTCTTGGGCGTGAAAGCGATCACCTCCTGCAAGCAGACTTTCAGCTACAACTCTTACGGCGGGGCGTCGCCTTCGACTTGAACACACGTGCCTGGGTCATCGTAGACATGTACTCTTGTACTTTTTTTCTGGAGGGGGGTTGAAAGGGAGGACGCAGGACCGCTTGTTTCCCCAAGTTTTTACGCAAGCGCGAGAAACTGCGATTGTGACGACCGAGTCCTCAGCGGCGTACAAATTTGTGCCTTTGACTGTATTTCTCCCAAGTCATTTTTTTTTCCAATGACAATGTTATTTGCCCCGATGGTCTAGTGGGTAACCTCGAAAACCTGCCAAGCAGCTTGATGTGAGTGGGAGTGATTAAATTTGTCCGTTGACAGTAGGCGATAGGAAGGAAGCGACAGGCCCTTCTCGCGTGATTTCTCGCAGGCAAGCACCACGCGGAGAAGATGGGAGGACAAAATAAGAGCCACTGTATTACGTTCCCTCCTGTGTGTTACCGCGGGTGATGCATCAAATACATACCACGAAAGGTGCAGCCTGTGGCGCCAGGATAGGCGGGCCTAAGAGACGCACACATAGACCCGTTGTTCTGTCCATCATTCATGAGGTTCAGGCGGAAACTGGATTGAATGAGTGAGTGTGGGTCATCCCGATATGGCGGGGAGTGCTGCACAAAATGAGAAAAGTGATAGATTCAGGATCCTGCGAACGTGTGTACCGCATTTTGCGTTTATGTCCGAAGGAAAACTCATCAGAGAGATCAATAGACCGGAGGGGGCGTTTTCTCGTGGTCAACCATACAAGCTTCCAGAATCACCCGTTTCAAAGAACATTGCCATACAACGCGTCAAGTCCGCTTTTATTTTGAAATGAAGCATGTCATCCATTTAGTGAATCTGATCTGCTCACATGGTTGACCTTGTTTTCATTCCAAAGTCGATCCTTTAGCAAATACCGGCAAATTGGTAGCGGCCAACTGGCAAGCAGTTCTTGCTTGACTGTCCCAAGCATAGTGCTGCTGGATGAGCAAGGCTGGCCCTGTAGATGGGCGTGAAAAATTGTTGAGATGGTAAAGTCCCTGATTAGGCCGGCCCTTGTCGAAAAGGGGAAGGAGAGTGAGCATCTCAGGTGGCGAACACCCGCTTCACGCACCAGCGGCAAGGAACTCAGAACTCGGAGCATTACGCAACATGCCTAAGAAAGATACAGAATACCGGGTACATCAGAAGATAGCCCGAAGGCCTACGCCCCTTGAACGGTCACTTCGGCTCCGTGGTACAAACCATCATACACGGGTAATTATAGCGGTAGCCTTCGTAAGGGTGACATAATCAACCTCACGAACGTTCGCAACGGCAAGTGCCACATCTACAGAAACACAACTACCGCGCGGCCGTGTCGACTGTGCGGGCGACTACGGGGGCGTCGGCATTACGCTGAGGCCCCGTTCGTGCCGCGGACGTGTTGACCCGCCGGGTGCCCCTGGTCGTGTCCGCCACGCAAGCAAGCACGTTGCTCCCAAGCATGCGGCACCACGTGGGGCCCCATGCTCTGAAGATGTAACCGCGGATGAACTTGCGCTCTTCTTTCGCTTCCTCCTGCGAAACACGTGTATTGAGCACCGGAGTTGCATTTTTGGCAAGAACCCCGTGCCAGTTTTGATTGCTTGCGCGCGCCACCAAACGATATACGCGTATCGTACGAACTCAGTTGACATCCTTCGCAACCGTGGTAGCGAGTGAGTGACGTGTTCTGCATCGACTCGGTGGGTTGTTCATCCCACGGGGTACGATGTTCCCCTTTCATGAAATAGTCATCTTGCCAAGAACTGATTAATCAATTCACTTTTGTCGCCATCGTTCCACATTTTGTACCCGTCGCTTACACGTTTTTCATTCTTCATTCCCTACAGCCTTTTCCTTCTCACTGAAGAGCTTTGATCTGGATCACGCAAGATAATCCTTTGTGCAGTGAGCTTTCATTCAGAGCTTCTTTCTCACCTCTGTTCGACCGTCATCGCAAGTGTTGCTCTTGGTCAAACTTCGTATTTTCTCACGAATAGCTCCCAGGATCACGGTGGAGGCATCAATGTACATCGGGATTATCAGCGCTTGGACCATCCACCCACGCGGCAACAACACGCAGAAGAACGGGAAACGCACGGGTCGTCAAACGGAAGTATGCTTTCTATACAATAGATTGCTTGGACGCTGCAGAGTGCGGCATGCAACACAAATTTCTACGGCAGTAGAGTTCCAATTGTGAGATTTCAGTCGTTAACAGAGACTTTCGAAAGTGGTGAAGCCTATGGTCGCTTGAATACCGATATTCCGACACGCGGCACCGATCGCGTTGTAATGATGGGCGGTATTCGGGGGTGAATGAAAACGGTAAAGTCGGCTGCACGCTATGAGCGCAAGAAGATAGTCTCTTTTTTATTGCCCCACGACCCTACATACATTCCCTTGAGTATGAATCACATCACCCACGCATCTCACCCACGAGGGCCACAAGTTGCAGGACCACGACGGCCGTGTCCATTCGCTTTGCCCTCGATGTCCGTTGCCATCGGTGAGCGGTGTCAGCTAGCATTGCCATGGAGGCAGCGTCGATCAACGTCAAGCATGCCCCCATGGTGTTGATGATACTACATAGAAGGAAGTAAAGATTGGGGGAGAGTGTGAGTCGATATGTTGCCAAACACGAACACTCAAAATAAACTGCGGAGCACTGCATAGCATAAGAGGAGATATCCGAGTGGTGCCGTCATCAGACCATCGGCTTGGCATCCCAAACCGCCAGAGCGGAGCAATATGCCCGGTATTCGCCGCCTCAGGCCACGATTGTGAAGGATGTGGATCCCACAGGATATGTGCCACAAGAAACCACCTCTACGGTGAAAACCACCATGGAAATAAGCTTCAAAGTTCGAGGTCAAGCGGATAATCCCGTCTAACATCCTCTCCTGTGAATGATCTTCCGTGTAGAGCTCGCCGGGGAATCAACGCGGGGGACGGTGACCCCACGCTCAGTCTATAAGGAGCAGATCCCCGTCGGTATTCTTCGAGCATAGTCCAATGCCACATTGAAAACAGCAAGCCTCGACGTTGCGCATCATTTCGTTAAGTTGAGCAGAGCTGATGACTCGTTCCCCGGCCAGTCAACGATAGCTGGGGGTCCAACGACTCAATATTTGCCTACCCCCCCGCAAGTATTTGCTACTCCAATGAGGGGGGTGTCGAATGCCAACCCGGTATTGAATATCCAGCTAATTGGTGCCATCAACTCCTAAAGCTCTGGTATGGAAGCCACCATACGTGCATGTGTGTGGCGAGGTAGTCGTCGGATAGATGCGGGGGTGGAGAGGAACGTTTAGTGCTCTCTAGCTGTTCAAGAAGTTTTTGGTCACGGAGAAAAACGCCTCGCATTCTTCCGCGGTCGTCGGCAGTCTACATCTTGATCATGAGCTTGCGCTGCTCGATATGAGTACTTCAAGTTGATTTTAATTTTTTTTCGAAAGATGGCAGACTACGCCAGGCATGGCCTCTCTCACCTGTTAGCAAACGGCCTAAAGATGACGAGCAGGAGGAAGGACAAGGAGTGCAGGCCGCAGAACAAGAAGAGCTGCACGACGCTGTCGTCCACCAACACCGCAGTGCACGCGATACCTGTCATCTGAGCGACCCAGCGCAGGCATGCAGCGACAGCAAGGACCAAAGAAACCGAGAAAGTATTGCATAGAAACTCGCTGTGTCGCGGACAGAACCAGTTGACACCATGGTAAACCTCAAGAGCTGGGAGAGCCTGGACGGAGAGTTGAACAAGACGGTTAAAATAGACGAGAATGCTGGCCTAGAAGTGCCTGACCGACCCCACGGCTATCGTTTTTCTCTCGACACATGCACCTCTAGAAGGAAGTACACCGTGAACCAAGACGCTTTCTTGGTGAAATCCACGAAAAGCGGCTCGAACCCGATCCGGAACTGGTCTCCTTCCCGCACAGTCTCTTCGTCCGGAGTCTCCACAGTCTCCCACGCCCCCGTGTTCGCCCATGCGAACATGCTGTGATCTTCTTTTAGACCGGTCCGGACCTTGGAGAGGAAGCTGCGGGGAACGGTACCATCGGTGCCATGATTCTCTTCTTCACCGACCGGTTTAAACACAATCAGCGTGTCGGGTGCCACTCGTACGCGGTGTGTACGGTAGCTCAGAATGATCATAAGGACGGGATAAACGACCTGAGGGCCAGCACGAGGACAACCGCCACGGAAGACCGGTTCAAAGCAGGGTGAGACATTGAGCTCGTCACCTATCATTGTGCGTTCGATGACCCCCAAAGACGATGAGTTTCTGTCTGACCCTACAAACCTGCAACAAGAACATTGGGCGCAAAAAACTTGGACGCAAACGTCGCAAGCTTCGAAGCGCTTTATCCCAACATGCCAACACATTGGGACCAACGTGCCTTCAGAGGGCCTGCAGTCAAACAAAAACAGTGCTCCATTTCCTGTGGTGACAATACTATCGCCCAAGAGCACTCTTATTCAACCGGCACTAAACAGGGACCCCATCTGCAGTATTGTACAGAACCAATATGTCCTTAACTACCATGTGTTCTTTTGGGATAGTGTGTCTTACCAAGGACGCGCACGCCGAGTAGAACACCCACGGGCATCCACCTCCGCGCATCGTCGCTAGCTGCGATGCCATCGCCCCCTCGAACGCGAACAGCAGGAACAAGAGCTCGATGTGGGGAAAGTAGAGCCAGACCGAGCTCGACCGATACCGGCAGTCCGCAAGCATTGCTCGAAGACCCTTGGGGCGCGACCGGATCGGTATCCCGTCTTCCTCGAAGTCCACGCCTACGTCCACGGAGTCGGCGGCGGCGTGTTCTCGGGACATTGCCCCGTCATTGGATGCCGAGGCCGCCAGCTCGTCGGGATCAGACTCTGCGTCCGGGCTGTGCGCCACTCTCGAGGCCCGCCGTGCCCCGAGCCCTCGGATGGGAATACCACGGCGCTGGGCCTTGGTCAATTCTTCCATTGCGCGTTCCTGGAGGTGCAGAGTATAAGGTGGTTGGCGGGCAGGATAACCTGAGGATTTGTTGTGAAAGATCGCTGCCGTTGTAGACTACGCCGCATTTGTTTGCCGTACAGACCAATAGGTTCAAGCGTGCATGGTCTCGACTTAGGGTGGGGGTGGGGTACAGGAGTTACAGAGCCAAGGCACCGACACCACCATTGCTGCTGCCAACCCCCGCTATCCATAACAGTGTGTTATTACACATGATTTCTGCGCTTCACCGCCAACAATGCGAATTGGGGGAGATCGGGCCGACGCCGAGGGATCGGAACTACAGGTATTGGCCCAAAACGCACCTTCGACAACCAGTAGGCCTCGACCGCAGACACCAGCACGATGTGGATGACAACAATACCGAGGAGGAGGGAGGTGAACAGACCGATGTTGCCCAAGAAGACCAGGGCGCCGATGTCGCTGGCCGAAGTTGGCTCGATTCCGCATGCTCTTGAGCCGTCTTGCTGAAAAAGGCGTTCCCCACCCGATGAGAAAGTCCGACCGACCGAATCCGGAGGCCAGAGATTCACCCACCTACATGGGCGTTGGGGGCCAGAGGATGCACGCGCTTCACAACACAGATGAGAGGGAGTTCGTCAAGAATTGTGGGTACCTTCTATCGTGGTGCTATCTAGCGGCAACCCCTTGCAGATAGCGTCGGGAACTCAACGGGGCCATCGCTCTTTGCGGTTTTACAGTGCAGGTATGAATACTTTCGACCACTTTTTTTTTGTATTTTTTTTCCGGACAACGCGAAGGGAAATCGCAGAAGCACCCCATAAAACATGTTTTTGTTTACGTGTACCAGACCTGAGATTTTGGGTGAGCTCAGAAAGCAGCGAGTCCTCAGCTCCTGTGGAGTCCACCAGTGACAGCGTCGCGAGAAACTGGATCTGAGTTAAAAGCAGCACGGCGATGGTCACCGACGGCGCTCGAACGCTGACATGTGGCTGTACGCTGGCAGCCCCCAGAACCCCCTGTCATGGGGAGGAGCGAACAAGAACGCGTGCGATTGGCGCAGCTTTAGTAATTTGCCAGCAGGCATGTTTCGCGGAACTGGAGGCGAAGCTTGCCGCGAACGGTCCAGAGAACCAGCGTAACGATCGGTTCTTTCATGCCTCTGTGACGCCTCAAGGGCTTGCAAGAAGCCGAAAAAAGCAGTAATTGCACCTGAGGGGGCATTGATGCGTGGGTGGATGCGGCTGCGTTGGCGGCTGCGGCTGCACTGGCGGATGTCGACACGCTTGCAGCGCCTCCAAACATGCTGCCTGCCGTGACGACGGCCAAACCGCTCCAGGCAAATATGGATGCGGCTCCTGCAGCGACGGCCCCAGGGTAGACGACCTGGGCAAAGGACAAACAAAACAATATGTACTGTAAATGAGCACCGAGGGTAGTGCAGACTGCGCTCGGCGGCCGTTCCCGTATTCGGTTGACCTCTACGGCGAGTCCTGCACGTTGGTGCAACTAACGTCGACAGGTGGTCTCAAGGCAAGCACTCTTCTTCATTGTAGAACCGCCTTGCGTTGTGAACTATCCGCGGAATGACGGCATGGTCCACCTATCCAAGGACGATTAAATAGTTTGATCAGGTACGACGAACCTCAGATACGGCGGCTGGGGATGCGGTCTGTGGCGCAAGACCCTCCGTCCTCGACGGAGCTTGTTCGAGAGTTGGCTCTGCGTCGGCGTTGTACTCAGGGGCAAGCTGGGGCGGCAGGCTGCGGCGATCGGTTGTTGGCTCGGTAGGGGTTACCCCTACGGTTGGTGAGGAACTTGGCTGGTCGACTGTGGTTGGAGTCATGGCTGCGAAGCCCCCACGAAGAGGGTTGGGCAAGGACACGGGGTATTGGAACATGGTCAAAGATGGAGACAGACCTTCGACACATGCGACGAGATCGAAACGTTCATGGTTTTCAAACCTATTTTAACTATCAGTGTATGCGTTGTAAACTACAGTATACTTCGGTGTTGAAGACATCAAAAAGTATCATCTGCCGGTTGAACGTGTGGTGTTTGCGCGAGGTAGTGGGCTCCCGTATCCGCAGATCCGTGCAAGGAGAAGGCACCTACACATTGGCCTTTCTTCCCAACACGCCCATTTCAATGCTCGTGATATCCTCTGCATCGGTTCTACGTCGTACCCTCCAACAAGGGTTCGTCGTCGGCAACACAGGCATCAGCTGACATTGGCCGCGAATCCGAGAACGCATTACCTGTACTAGGCCCTTGCGTGCGTCCCTGACTGGGTCCCTGGGTAGATCCTGGAGTGGGTGTTGGAGCGGGCGCTGGAGGAGATCCTGAGGTTGGTCCTGAGGTCGGTCCTGAGGTCCGTCCACGAGTTGGTCCTGGGGTAGACGGTGGAGTGGGCAGTAGGGTAGGCTCTGTAATGGGTCCTGGGGTGCGTCCTGGAGTTGGCGCTGGTGAGGGTCCCAGAGTAGGTCCTGGCGTAGGTCTTCGAGTGGGCACTGAAGTGGGTCCCAGAGTAGGCCCTGGCGTAGGTCCTGAGGTGGGTCTCGGAGTTGGTCCTGGTGTAGGTCGCGGAGTGGGCGCTGGAGTAGGCACTGAAGTGGGTCCTGGAGTAGGCGCTAGGGTAGGCACTGGAGTGGGTCCTGGAGTGGGTCCTGGAGTGGGTCTTGGAGTGGGTCCTCGAGTAGGCGCTGGAGTGGGCGACACAGTAGGCACTACCTTGGGCCCCACAGTAGGTCCTGGCGTAGGTCCTGGAGTGACCGCTGGAGTGGGCGCTGGAGTGGGGGCTGGAGTAGATCCTGCGGTGGGTCCTGAGGTTGGTCCTAAGGTGGGTCCAGGAGTTCGCACTGGAGTGGGTCCCAGAGTAGCTCTTGGCGTAGGTCCTGGAGTTGGTTCTGACGTGGGCACTGAAGTGGGTTCCAGAGTAGGCGCTAGGGTAGGCACTGGAGTGGGTCCTGGAGTGGGTCCTGGAGTTGGCGCTGGAGTGGGCGCCAGAGTAGGCACTACAGTGGGTCCTAGATTGGGTCCTGGAGTGGGTGCTGGAGTGGGTCCCGGAGTTGGTCCTGGTGTAGGTCCTGGAGTGGGCGCAGGAGTAGGCGCTGGAGTAGGCGCTGGAGTAGGCACTGAAGTGGGTCCTGGAGTAGGCGCTAGGGTAGGCGCAATAGTGGGCGGTGGAGTGGGCGGTGGAGTGGGCGGTGGAGTGGGCGGTGGAGTAGGCGCTAGAGTAGGCGCTGGAGTAGGCGCTGGAGTAGGGGCCGGAGTGGGCGCTGGAGTGGGCGCTGGAGTAGGCGCTGGAGTGGGCGCTGCAGTGGGCGCTGCAATAGGCGCTGGAGTAGGCGCTGGAGTGGGCGCTGGAGTGGGCGCCGGAGTGGGCGCCGGAGTGGGCGCCGGAGTGGGCGCTGGAGTAGGCGCTGGAGTAGGGGCGGGAGTGGGCGCTGGAGTGGGCGCTGGAGTAGGCGCTGAAGTGGGCGCTGATGTGGGCGCTGCAATAGGCGCTGGAGTAGGCGCTGGAGTGGGCGCCGGAGTGGGCGCTGGAGTAGGCGCTGGAGTAGGGGCCGGAGTGGGCGCTGGAGTGGGCGCTGCAGTGGGCGCTGCAATAGGCGCTGGAGTAGGCGCTGGAGTAGGCGCTGGAGTGGGCGCCGGAGTGGGCGCCGGAGTGGGCGCTGGAGTAGGCGTCGGAGTGGGTGCTGGAGTAGGCACGGGAGTGGGCGCTGGAGTAGGCGCTGGAGTAGGCGCCGGAGTGGGCGCTGGAGTAGGCACTGGAGTGGGCGCCGGAGTGGGTCCCGGAGTGAGTCCCGGAGGAGTCGCTGAGTCGGGCGTAGGCACTGGAGTGGGGCCCGGAGTTGGTCCTGGAGTGAGGGGGTAACGTGGTATTGCGTGTAGCGCAAACGTTCAGTCCAGACGGGTGGGTGCCATGAGTCGGGAATTTCTTCCTGCTACCTACCGGGGAATATCCTTTGGTGGTGTTGCTGTCGCTATCATTGTCACCGTCACTATGCGGCGGCATGGTCGTTGTGATACTTCGGTGTGGTCGACGTTATGATCATCTCCATCGCCATCGCCGTCGTCCTCGTCGTTGTTGTGACTGTCGTTGGCGTGGTTGCCATTTCTTGATTTGAATCAGCGGATTTCGCAAAACATTCTCGCAGTTACAGCCACGACAACATTTCTTGCGCCCCGGCTGAATCGAAGGAATGCGCGCGCTACAGTAGACGATACAACCCCATACATATCTAGAAGAGTAAATTTGGATATGAAACGTTATACCGTGTGCGGGTGCTCACCTCCGCAGCATACATCTTCATCACATGGAGGGTAAAAGGTGTTCAAGCCCGCAGCCGCACATGCAACCAGCAGGCTTTCTGTTCCTTCGGGGCAGCCGTTGTAATCCTTGCAATTAAAGACGTCAGTGTCTGAAAGTATGGCGAGAGTTCATATACGAGGATTATGTCGCGGACGTTTCGTTTGGACACAGCTGAACGCTTCTCCTTACAAGGCCTACCAGAGGGAGAAACCCGCAACGATACCACATGGTGTCATGCCGTGTTTCCACGCCTCAGCGTGAAGGACGCATAGTCGCAATGAAGAGGACTGGCGAGGATAACGGAACTTCCCTTACTTTTGTGTTGCCAAAGGACAGTCAGGGTCGGATGGAAGCAGCGAGTCTTCAATGACTCCAGAAAAGGTAATACCATCTGCCGCGGACAAGATTATCCTATCCTTGAAAGAGGCCACTTGTGTAAAGTCGGATACACACATAAAGGCGTTTAGATAGATCACACAGATACACAAGCGGTTGCCGGTTCCTATTGACAAGTTGGTACTCGGCAGACACGGCCTACAGTGTAGCCGTGGTGTTTCTCGATCTCTCGAGAACTCTTGGTTCTGAGTGCTGCTCTCCCACCAAAAGCACCTCACTTAGCGAATATCGTCCAGTATCGCCGGTTAGCGGCCTTGTACTGTAGGGCTTCGGGTTTATTTCCACGTAGATATATACCTCGACCCCCAAATCCTTATTTTATCCCTAGGTGATAAAGAACGCCTGCAGTGATGTTCTGATGCAATTATTGTTAACTGACCCACAGTACTGAAGCATGAAATCCGATATACTGTAGTCTACACGTCTAAGCAGACAAGTAATGACCAAGCAGACGTGGTGGGTTCGCTTCTCTTTCATCTCACTCACCTCCCGTTCTGGCAGGCCCATCCTGTACGGCGTTGCCTGCCTAACTGAGTAATAAGTATAAGACTCCCAATCGGAGCTTACACGAAAGATTCCTGCGGTGGCGCGCTTGTACTGTGAACCATAGCAGAGTGCGGCGGATCGTTTGTTTCTATACTGTAGGTAGTAGATAGACTACTTTTAGGGCACCAGCACAGTGTTGATCGCACTCACTCACATTCATCTTCGCAGCAGGTGAGATCGCTGCACTCGTCGACATAGGTGTAAGACTTGGGACGATAGTCATCGTCGGGAGACCAATAAAACGTGTAGCAGTTCGGCAGGTTTGGCGTGAAGTGCCCCTGCGGGCAGTCCCATTGCAAGCACGAGAAACACGCCAAGTCACTTGACGGATCGTTCCTGCATGGAAGAAATTCTGCACAACGGAAACAGGTTACACACCGAGGGGGAACAGCTCCGGTGATACTGTAGTGTGGGGATAGAGATATGTTGGTGCACTATATTGCTCAGCGGATATGGATGCGACGCCTTCTAACAACCAACCATGGGGTTACCGTCCGGGAAGATATATTTGTAGTCTATCCCCAGTACATGTATTCTACTTGCCGCTCATTCCTGACATTCTAGTTGTTGATTCTACAGAAAACAATGGCTAACATTAGATCTACCACGTGCGTTTCGGGACATGGCGACTTCTTCTCACGGCGATGCTACTATACGGTAGGTGAAGCACGACACGGCAATCCAACAAGAGCACCTCAGAATATTTGTTGCTCAGGTCCAAACCTCGACGCACGCTCTCCGCAAACTTAAACGTGTATGTACGGACATTTGCATGTGATTGACACTACCAACAACATGAAAGCAGACCATTCGAATCCCAAGTGTTTGGTACATAGACTACTGTTCTTTGTGCCCCCACCATAACTACTCATCAAACCAGCAACGCGATGGTTTATCTACTACATGCCACCTCAACCGAATCATATCTCTCTCCGGAGCATCTTCTAACTGCGACGATATGAATCTCGACGCCAACGGCCCACCTCCGGAATAGTACGCCTGCAGGTCGCGGTGCTCGAACGAACTAGATGATGAGGTGGTGGAGTTGAACAGCGTCGAAGCAGGACTCTCTCCCAGGTCGGCTGAGGCAACAGCCGGCCAATATGCTACATGGAGTACAAAAAGCGTTCTCATGGAGACACTGGGAAATGTCATAGCGCCTTCTCTCCGCGCCACGGCCCATGCAGCAAGAGCTCCCTTTCGTTGTGTTGACGTGCGTTGCCGGTTGCGTCCATGGGTCAAGACTGAATGCTTTGGGTCTGTTGCCGTTGAGGCAGCAGTCCATTTTTCTGTGTGCCATTTGTTCACCATGATTATATTTGCAGCCGATTGGGGATGATTCAGCCCTGTTTAGCGAACAAAACTACAAGACTATCCACATATAATATTTAGCTAGTTCGTTTCAACGCGTGACTTTGTCCCTTAAACACTAGCCTTACCTGTAATTGTGGCCTGCGCGGATTGCTTTGGGACGTTAGTTCGGCTGAAACAGAAGGCGTAGGGCTGGTGCCGTCCTTGGGTGGCCGAAGGGAGAGGTTTGATGAGCACGGAATGGCATATAGCATGCTTGTCGTGGTAGATTGTTGATGGTGCCAGGCCATAAGTCAGTCGACTTCATCAATCAATCAAGGGCGCACGCATTTTGAAGGCAAAACAAGGAATATATTACACCCACACATGATGACATAGGATCTGACGTGTACCTTCAACCATTCAAATATAAATACGTACAGACTACGTACAGTGTAGTCGCGGACACCGCGGTCAGCCGGATCAATTGTTAATGAACCGACAGCATTCCGAGTGAATTTTCACTCTGCTTGACCATCTCATGTGGTATACCTCATGCATATATATATGCGTTCATTCGCACGTCGAGTCGCGCTGGTTGCAGTTGTTGGCCTCGATAGGCAGCATATCGTAGGTGGGTAAGCTATCTTCTGTGCACCAGTGTACGTTGCTCAGTTGCGCGCCGACGACACTTCCTACAGCTGAACTGAATAGTTATGTATGTATCTAGAGGGTGTGTGGAAAGTGTTTCTTTCGTGTCGGATGTGGGTGGCGTGCCAGCTCCTGGCGGCAACCAGTCCGAACAAAACAAACCGCCGGAGCGCAGAGCACCTTCGCCGTTAAGATGAGTGAGTGGTGCGATGCAAACTGCATGCGATGAAGGATGATGGCTCAAGGTGCAGACACAAACGGATTCGGTGGAATCCTAAGACGGCGTGCACGTAGGTGTCGGAATAACCTTTTCTAAGCAAACGTCTGAATATTCCCAGAAATTTCGAGCGTCAAGTCAGAGCGCGGACCAGGCCATCCCGGATATGGGCTGCCCGTGAAGCATCGCGTCCATGTATGCGGTGCGCACACAGGAGGGCACCCTCTCGTGTTATGAAGATGCGATGACACAGCATATCCATCTCTTGGTGCACGATGGATGTCGCTTCGTATTCTAAAGAAGTGTGCGCACAGGCACCCACAAGACTTCTCCAACATAAAACCGAAACGAGTCTTCTTGCTACCGCGCTTTGACGGTTTTCGAACACGAACTCTCTGTGATATCGTTCCTGTTGCGTTTGTGTCTACCGTGCTTTGCCTCTTCTCTTTCAACATTTCATAAATAAATCGGGTTCAGACATCTTTTGGCATCGACGCGTACTCCAAGAGAGTAGTAGGAATAGTTTCACATGGATGATGGATTTACCCTACTCATGAACAAGTTACAACCGAGAAGTTTTATCCCTGCAATACATTGCAATAGATAGCCGTGGAACATTCTGCTACAAGAAGGCGCAGTATGTGATGTTCGTCAACCACAAGCAAGCATGCTACAGCCGGTGCTTTCGTGCATTCCATGATTTTACTGTAGTTAGTAAAACGATCGACGACCACGACGAAAATTCTCATCTTCTTCGGATGCATGCCATCGCAAACATCGTAAGACACAATTTTCGATGTTTGTTGTTGCGACATGCACAAGCCTTGATGTATCACACAGTTAATTCCTCCGTCCACAAGTAAGTTTTCTTTTCGTTTGGGTTTAAAACAAATCGCGTCTTGGCAGGAATACTTGGTGTGCTGGTCGCCTCACCTGCTGCCCGCTGCTGTGTGCTGTACGTGCACGTTCCACACGCTTCTACCGGTGTTTATGTGTCGACGGAAGCCTTGAAGGGCTACATACAGCTTGGGATTTGTTTAGCTGAAGGAAGTCTACCTCAAGAAAAGTAGAAGGCAGTGTTCGGTTCCCATTGGGTGCGTTTAAAGTTGTGGGCAGGAATACTTGGTGTGCTGGTCGCCTCACCTGCTGCCCGCTGCTGTGCGCTGTACGTGCACGTTCCACACACTTCTACCGGTGTTCGTGGTTCGATTGGTGCCTTGTGGCCGGAGATACAGACGGGGGGGGATTTAGTGGTCTAAATCCCCCCGGGGGGGCAGGTTGGGGCAACATATATATTTTGCCCATCAGCCATGGCTGCACCAAACCTGCACCGTTTCGGCTGTTCGGTGGGTCTCGCGATAGCCCTACATCACAGCAACACAGCCGTGCATGTCCTGGCTTGATTGGCGCCGTAAGGGCGGAGATACAGACGGGGGGGGATTTAGACACACCCTTTTTTTTTTTTTTCTAGGATGGAGGGTGTACCCCCATTTTTGGGGGAGTTGGCTTTTGTGACCACGGAAGGAAGGTGTCCGCGTCAGTTGAACCACTACGTTGTACGGATATTAGAAGGTACTGAGTGGAGACCAGAACGGTTTTTAATGTGAAGACAACAACAACAACAACCTAACCCCCTTCCGCATAGACAACTCACGGCGTTTTTGTCGATGATGTTGAGTTTCCGTAGCGACATACGGTTGTCGGTGCACGTAGTGTTGGAGCATCCAAGATCCAGCAGTATTTTCCCACCTCGTAGATATTTTCTACCCACAGTCATATATCACTGGATTGGAACAGCTTCATCGCACCTCGTTAACCATCGTGTGTTCGGCGATGTTATTTGCTAACACATCAGGCACGGGCACAATTTTTTCCGTCGAGTGTGGCGAAAACGCGAAAGTGTCCCTCACTCTCAAGCAATGGTACCGTCAGCAATGGAGGGTGGTAGAACACCTCAGAACAAACGCCTAGGTCGCTGGGTTTCGAAAAACAGTACCAGCTCCTAAACATGACAAGACAGTTTTTCCGTTTCGCTCGATCGTCTTCCCCTGACTGGCCCTCAAGTGGCGCGTTACTTCTGTACCCGTTGAAGACAAAGCGCATTGGATATCGAGCCTAGACGGGATTACCTAGGGTGCTAGGGTAAGAACTGGAGAACGCTCCACACAACAACGGGCCACCCGGTAATGCTTGCCTCTTAATCGACCTACTGTAGGTCAGGAAATTTTCAACACATCACCAAGCATGTTTCCCCGTGGAACAATGCGTGCGTCTTCTTCAACAAGCATCAACCGCACTACGCAGCTGACCAATGAGAAGACACCAGCCTTCAGGGGCCCAAAAGGCGAAAAAAAACACATTCACGCGATGTTCTCTCACGCAATGGGCTCAAGGCGACACCTACAGTAATCAGAAACGCCCTGCCTCCGAACTCAGGGAAATTTGAGAGAAGAAAACAATGGGTATCACTGCCAAACATTCTCGATGTGGCACCTTCTTGGTGGTGAGTGTGTACCTGTTGCCTTGGACCGCGAGAAGCGTGGCGCAAGCACCGGCCGTAGGTAGGGCACCGGCTTCGTATGCGTTGTTTCCGTGTTCTCCCTTTTACCTTCTCATCTTCTTCGGACTACGTATAAACTTCGAACCTAAAACCCATCCGGGCGGACCCAAAGCGCCTCTCCCGTGACGGAGTTGTAGTAGTACGAAGCCCCCACCTCCTCGTCCCAAAACTCCCCCCACTCCTTGCAGGAGGGCGTTGATGGTGGGTTGATGTCCGATCCCTTGCAGGATGACGGCGCCAAACTCAACGGTCCTGAAGCGGAAGACGTTGAAACCGTCGCCGCCGCCGTCGCTCCCGCCCCGCCTCCCCCCATCCCCAAAGGCGCGTTGCTGTCCATATGCAAGCCATAGCCAGACCCGGTACTGAGGATGTTAGCACCGGCTTGAACAAGGTGGGTGTTCCTTGGGGACGCCGGGGAAATGGCCCGACCTGGCTCTCTCTCGGCAACTCGGTGGTGCTGGTGATCGAAGCAAGCGGGTGTTAAGAAATAATTGAAGATATGTGGTGGAACAAACGAGCGAGACCAAAGAAGGTTGAACCGAATTGATGTACCCTGAGTAGCTTTGGCCTTGAATTCAAGGATGATTTGTAGTATTTCGACGCTCCTCTTACTACCTGTGAAGCTGTGGACAGAATTCAGACGAGACAAAGAGCAGGCGAGACTTGTGCATCGTGTGCTCCAATGTATCGACGACGCTAACAGAGGCGTGACATTCAAGATATGCCGTGGTCAAAAGAACGATGTCGTTCCTCCCGCACGGTTTCCCTCTGCCTCTTGATATTCATGCCTCTTTTGTCGAAGGCAAGAAGCAACAATCTTCGAGGTCCGCCGGGTAAACGACGAGGAAGAGCTTGGCGGTCACGTTTCGGCAATTTATATATCATACCAATCCCCAACGTCTGTGTGGGCGATACTCGCGCACAACCACCCGGTCTCTTGACGCGTGCGCGTTTGTTCATGTTTACGATAGACAGCTTGAAAGCAATAGGTTTGGCAAAGGACAAAGCGCGATATGTTCATTATCATTAGAAAGTAGCCCTAATGCCTACCGGGGGATAGGGCGGACACGGTCCATTCACCCTTCCCAACACGAAGAACTGTTATTCAAAGAAAATACATCCGGGCGTCGTCACTTCTGATAGCCCACGCGCAACCACTCAGGAGAGCCTCTTGTTTTGCCGATGCTCGTTTCGTATGTGTTTCCTCTGTAAGTTTGCCCAACATCGACTGCGTACATGTTTCTATCAGTAGTACGGGGTTCCTACCTGAGCACTTGGTGTCCAGTTTCCAACTACATGTAATCGTATTTTCACGCCTGGATTTCTGGCTCTGAGGTCCTTTGGTGGTGGCGCATTCTCTATCGTGGAGAACAAACTCACCGGTGACGCAATTTTCTCCTCGGCTGCTTGCGCGGCTAACATTTCCCTCCTCCTTCGCTGCTCCTCTATGATGTGGGGTGGTGGCGGCCCTGGGGGGCGTGGAGGTTTTGCTGCGCTCGCCAGGCAACGAGGCAGTGCGAATTGTTACAAAGATAGATAGGTCGTTGCAGGGATTCCACGATGTAGTTGCTCATATGTGCGGGGCAAGATTTACAAGCTGCATGAAGCACTCCAAGCAAGCAAGAAAGTTCGAAAATGTTTGTTGTTACTGTAGACCAGCTCGCCCGCAAAGTTGTGTCAGTACTTGCTCGAAGAATGTGACTGGGTTGGTAACCACGGTGGAAAAGACCGCGGACGCTTCAATTGAGGGCGGTGAACGGTTTTAGGCTTCCCACGATCCAGATGCAGCAACAGCCTTCTGCGCACCTACTTCCGACTCACCATATTTACGTAGTTGCTGCTGGCTCCCCACCGGATTCGATAAAACAGACCCCTGTGACACTGTGCCGCAGGAGGGGCGCTCTGGAGCCAGTGCCCCTTGGTTCGGAGATCTCGATCCTTCCGCAGGTCGCGTCTGTATCGGATTGTATGCCCTCTGCGTGTGTCGGCCAGTGTTGGAGGATAGCTGGAGGGGCAAGCGCACAAATCATGCCGCAGGGGAAAAAACGTGCTTGTTACAAAGGGCGTTTCGGGTCGTCAGCACATCCAAGCACACGGCGTGGATACGCTTGGTACAGTAGTGGTGCCTATGTCAGAGTTGGTGAGGATTCGGCAAGCATGTACGGGGAACAACAAATCGAAGTACATGACAAGAAACTCGTGCGCCTGAACGCCATGCTAACCGTAACCCCATGATGTCACCATACACACAATACTATGAAATGCATCGATTTCTCAGCCAAGAGTTAAGTTCAACAACATCAATGTTGCACCAGTCTCAGACAGCTGGCGGTCGCTACCATATTTTCCGGTGGTGTACATAGTGCCGTGCGAAACCTTTCACAACCCCCATGAGAACCCACCCGATGGCAGGTCATGGTGGTTTCCACGTTTGTTTGCCGCCCCAACGGAGCATAGTTCCAAACGCAGATGGCGACCAAGGACAATTGTAGGTACAGGAGAAAGTGTACATGTTACCCCTTTACTGGGTCGTACCGAAGGCTACAGAAGCGACACGCTTACTGTGAACAAGGTGCAGCAATCCTGGACAAAGCTACATGTAAAGGCTTTACACTTTGTCGGATGCGACACTGGAGACAGCACCATACAACGGTTGTGTATGCTACAGTAAATGTAGGTGTTTCGTGTTTTGACTCCACCAAGGACAGAAGGATGCAGCAGTGTAGTCTACACTACAGTATGTACGTGTTTTCGAGTGACTCCACTGCGGACCCAGGATTCTTGGCGTGACTACAGTACACTGCTATACACTGCTAATTGACTCACCATCGGACGAGCTCCCCTCCCAACGCTTCCAGCAGTAAACACGTGAGGTCCCGAAGCCACAGGAGTGCCACCACCGCATAGTGATGGTGGGCGATGCCTCCGTAGGACACCCTCCTGCTTGTGCCCACTTCCTTGCATGGCCGGAGGCACACCAGCTGCGCCTTTCAACAACCATGATGATGCGTTCACCGCAGTAGCGGGTCCTACCCCAGCAACTCCCCGTGGTGCGGCTGGTCGAACCTTGACCGGCAGTTGCAGATCCGGTGCCAGCAAAGCGGGGCGGCTGGGACCACCTGGAGCTGGGTGCGGGCGCAACAACAGACCGCCGTGTGGGTTGTTGATGGGTCCATTCAGGTGCTGCTGTTGCTGCTGCTGCGGTGGTCGTGGAGATGGATGTCGTACCGCCGGCGCCTGCATTGTTCAGTCTTTGCAGCCGAAGGCGGTCGTATGACAACGCATTGCTGTACTGCTATGTTTGTGTATCTTCTGTCGCTCAGCAGATTGCACGGGATCTGCAGGACGGAGTGGTGGGCAGGATGCGGAGTGGTGCGTGGCAAAAGTCTCGGGTCATCTCTCCCAGACTATGTGATACCGTTTACGACATGCAAGCAAGCCCCAGACTGCGAAGATCCAGATATGAAGCAAGGCAACAGAGTGAGAGACCCTCACCTGTGATATCGTTCCTATGGTACTCGCACCTATCCACGGGCTAGTCGCTGCGTGGTTGCGTGGTGGTGTTGTGTGCGGAGTAACTTGTGCGAGCTCCGCACTGTGGAGCTCGCACCAAGCCACATCTCCCTGCTCTGGCCGTTACCGAATGCCTGTCAAGGTCATATAAAACCGCACTTTGGTACGACGGAAATATTATCTGCGGCTCCCCGCTTCGCCGCTTGCCGCTTGCTTCTTCGTGTCTCTCAGCAGCTGGTGGATGATTCATTGTTCTAGCTCAGCTGTGTGGATGACTGGCGGTAGCCTCTGTCGTCGGCCCTGGTGCTTGCTGGGGTTAGTAGTGTGCCTTACGGCTGCGCCCCTTGCAAGTCGTTACGCGCTGTGCGAAGCGTTCGTCGTTCGAATTTCCCGCAACGCTGAATTTAAACATGTTGCCTGGCGAGGGCAGCAACATTTCATGCACCACGGCCGTCACCAGCACCCAGCAGGACTCGATTCGAAGTGGCCGGAGGCACCAAGGGCAAAAGTGCTTGCGCTGGCTGCCAGGTGGGATGTGTGAAATATCTCGGGTGTGCGTGAATTTTTCATGTGCATGTTTTCCTCGTGATCCAAAACGTGAGATACCACCCCCCCGGGACAGCAGTTAATCGAAGCCGCCGAAAGAGAAACCGTTGTTGAAGCTCTTGACGAGATGGTGCACCCACCGCCGTTCTTTGCCTCTTCAAGAAGACAGCAGCAACGTATGAAAGTGGGCTCCATGTTCGGTATTTGCTGTGCACCTGGTGACAAAAGAAACAAGCTTTTGAGGTGAAATCCTCCTGCGACCCAGGCTGGTGACGTCAAACAAGACAGGCGCAAAGCAGATGGGACAAAGCCACACACAAAAACCTGGTACGGCCATCGATCATGATATGGGTACGTGTTACTATATGGAGTGCTAAGATATGGTTGCGCCACTCGCCACGCTACGGTACCTACCCGTACACATCTCGTCCGTCGGTTCCTCGACCTCTCAACCACAAAGTACATTTTGCGCACGCTGCTGCAGCCCAGGCAGCGGTTGTGTAAAAATAGCGTTGAGGTGTTGGCATGCGTTGCACCCGGCGAACGTCAAGCGGACTGGGGTCTGGCGAGTAGTGAGAGACGCAACAGAGTCTGACGAACGTAATTTGCCGACAATAAACACTTGATCCGACAATTACGTCACATACCACTCTTCAGCCAAGTTCGCAACGGGCCCGTATCCCTTCACCATGGATCAGAACGGGTAGTTTATATCCTGTTCTCTGGACAGCGTCATTATAGATTTTTGGCTTGTCTACTGCTTGGTCCATGGCGCAGTGAGGGCGAGGACGGACCCTGGCGACGAGAGGGTGGGCAGGCAGCTGAAGGCGAGTCGAGGGCGGGGCTGAGGGCGCTGCGGAAGCAAATAGACGAGGGAGCACCGGCGTCGCAGACCATCGGAACTATCGCGAACGACGTCATCGTGGACGGTCAGGAGCTGTTGACCACGGAGGTGATTCGTTTGTACAGTCCCTTCTTGAAGTAGGCCCCGTATGGCCCAAACCATCATACATGTCCAAGGAGCAATTACCTCCGTCGCCACACGGAAAGTTAACGTCGTCGATGGGGCCCGAGGTGTCCTTCGGGCAGCGGGTTCTTAGCCTCTCAGGCCCACCAAACGATGGTTTTGCCGTTTTTCTTCGAGGGAGTTAGCAAGACTCCCGAACGAAGGGACCACGGTTTCGATCGCCATCTTCATGCACTCGGGGAACCCAATATCTAAACTCGGACGAATCCCATCAATCGACCCCCCCCCCCTCTTCGGTGTCAGGAATGCTGTTTGCGGATGACTTTGTTGGTATGTCGGACACCCCTGAGGGACTGCAACTGCAAATTGACGCGGCGAAGAAGTTTACTGATAAGTGGAGATTGTCTGCCAACGTTACGAAGAGTGCCGTCATGGTATGCAACGAGGGCAGGGAGGAACCAGTAGAACATAGATGGAAGTGGGGGATCGAGGAGATCGCAGTAGTCGACCAGTACACATACCTCGGAGTAGAGATCGCAAAAGATTGCTCGTGGAATGCACACATGTCCAAGGTAGCGGAAAAGGGCAAAGCACGAGCAGGGAAGCTGCACCCAATACTCGCAAACCGGCACCTTGATACACGCATCAAATTGACGGTTTTGAAGAGCGTAATCGTACCGCCGCTGGAGTACGCCGGAGAAGTATGGGAAGGAAATAAGAAGGTAGTGAAAGAACTCGAGGCGGTGCAGATGAAAGCAGCGAAAATCATCCTAGGATGCTCCAAGCGCACAAGTAATGCAGCAGTCAGGGCAGAATTGGGGATCCAATCCCTACGGTCGGGAAGAGACGTAAGGAAGCTGACATGGCAGTACCGCATGTGCGGGATGGGAGAGGAGAGGTTGCCGAGAATAGTATGGGAGGCGAAGTGGGCAAACAAAAAGAGGGGTAGACAACCCACGGAATGGGTCAAGGTTGTAGAGGAGGTATGGAAAGGGGTTCGACATCGACGAAGATGAAACGTTGGAAACGGAGGGTCTAAAGGGGTTCAAGAAGAAGATATCTGTTGCTTGTGCCGACAGAGAAGAACAGAATCTAAGGAAAGAATCCAAGGATAAGGAGGGTCTAGAAGTGTACGGAATGTTGAAAGAAGGAATAGGGTTCAAGGATTACCTACATGGACCAATGGATGCAGGGACAAAGCTTAAGGTCAAATTCAGGACCGGGGACATAGGCCTTCGCGAACGTCGACGAAGACATAGGACGGTAGACGACGAAGACGACAAGTTCAAATGTGATTGCGGCTTCGAATGCGAAGACAGTGTTCATGTAGTCGCGGAATGTCCGTGGTACGAAAAGGAGAGGGAAGTGTACATGACTGAGCTGGGAAGAATACAAGGGACGTACAGGGAGATGTTTGAGGCATGGAATAGAGAGGAGAGGACGGTAGCGGTACTGGGGAGTAGGAAGTGGTTTGAAAAGGCGGGAAGTGACATCGGTAGGATAGACAGACTAGGGAAGACATTTTTGAGCCACCTTTGGCAAAGTAGGAAGGAACGATTGGCCATCGGTGATCGGTCCTGTGGGAACAATGCTCCGTCCTCTCGAGGACGCGTGGTCAATGGTCTAACCGCTAAGGCATGCAAAGCATAAGAGTACGCCCCCCCCTCCCCTCCTTTTTTCAAGGCCAGTGTTATTCTCCAGCGCTGTCCTCGCCTTGCCGAGGCCGCCAAGGCGGGGGAACTGTTGGCGGGGCTGTCATCTTCTGCGAACACGCGAGCGGGAGGAGAGAGCGATTTTCTGCTGGAAAACCTGGAGAAGGAGGTGGTCGCGGAGCTTGACACACCGTGGGATGTTTCGGTCAAGAAATGGAGGTGCGCATGTATGTGGCGTTGTTTTGGATGTGCACCTTGTGTGGTATGTCATGATTCTTCTCGGTATTTTCTTTTGATATTTCGAATTGTGTACCCGTTTTGGGTAGGTGGCTTGTGACCACAGAAGGCGTCCGCTTTAGTTGAACCTATGCGGGTGCTGCTGTACTGTAGAAGGTACGAGCAGAGGCCGAATGTGAAAACCATCAGCGCTACAACAACCCTACAGAACATTTGGTAACCGTGCATACGTCCGACGTTTCCAAGGAAGGCTCGATGCTCGGTGCGGCGACACGAGCTTGTTTATGTTCACGGTATGATGCCCTGACATTGATGTGGAAAGCGATTTTAATATTTCATGTGTATGCAATGCTCTCGAGTTTACGGGCGACGATGGAAATCACCGGCCTAATCGTTCTCGCGATAATTTTTAGGCGAGCACCGCAGAAGGACGACAGAGACAAACACAAAACTTAAAAGAGCCTTCTGTGTGTGGTTTCCTCCCTCTGCAACCCCGGCTGATGCATCCAGAACATAAACCAAAAAGGTGCAACAGTCTCATGCTGGAAAAAACAAAAAAGGTGTAACAAGCTTCAGTTTTCGTGCTACCCTTCTGGCGTCAGGGGTGGATTTGTTCGGAATTGTCAACTAGCGATTGTGGAGCCACCCCTTGGCAGTAGGATGCCACGTGCTCGATGTACCCGCTCTCCACCGTGAGGCTGGGTGGGTGCCTCTCGCCCAGAAAGCCACCGGCAAGGACACTGCTGCGCACGCACGGGTCTCTTGGGTGGTTTGATGCCGACCTCCTCCTCTCAATCGATTGTCCTTGCCTTGTTGTCCCCCTTTTCCCCCTCCCGCGTGCCACGTGATGCTACCCGTTCGTGTCTCCCGTGTTGGCAGGCAGAAGGCTCTGGCGGTGGAGAAGTACCGGAGCACCAATCCCACGGCCAACGCCGTCGTGTACACGTACATGACTAACTGCTGCTGTCGGCAGGGCATGTGGGAGGTTGCGTATGACGGTGGGCTATCATGTTTGGCACCACGTTTTTTGCGAACAACCCGAAACGCGCATGCGGCCTACAACCAATAATACTCCGTGGTTGATGTAGCCGGCGTTGGTAGGGGGGATACGCGCCCTTTTTGTTCTACGCGCCTCCCACGAAGGACTCCATCGTCTTTATTTTTCGTTTGACACCAGTGGTGCGATTCCAATCCAGGGCGATCCTCTCTTGGCGGCACTGCTGCATTTTTGCGAACGCCCATGATTGCGGAAGTAAGAAAGAAGCAGACTTTTTTTGGAGGGGGGTTTACGCGCGGACGCGCACATCGCACTTTGGGCGAGGCGTCTCTCTGCCAACATTCTGAATGCCCCCTGGCCTGCACGCGTTCTTCGCCGGTCGTGTCGCGATGACAGCTCTCACTTACGCCGGCTTGATGACGGCGGGACCATTTTTCGTCTCCCGCAAGGACCTCGGCTTCGGCAGCCCCTCCCTCGTGCTGGACATGGACAAGATGGGGTGCTACGTGGCGGAGAAGGTTGGATTCAACAATCTAGAAAAATAAATGTTGTCTGGGTTTAAGAGAAGCTTTGTGGAGGTAGACTGCTTGATATGGACAGTGCTTTGTTTTTGTGGTCGGAGTCGGATGAAGCGTCTGCGCTTCGTTCTGTTACGCGTGGTCGGTCGCGCGCACTGCTGTACCTTGGGGGTTGGCTGTTTTGTCACTACACTGCTGTTTAGGCGGAAAGAGGTGATCTGGGTTTTTGAGTGGAGCTTTTCACATACCGATATATATTTTCCGTTTCTCTGATCCCCCCTTCATCACGCCTGCGTACGGTGTGTGAAGTCCCCTACTTTTTGTGTTACCTGCGCAGTACTTGTTTCTTTCGTTGATGCAAAGTACGTTAAGGGGTGCGTCAAGCGGGCGTGGTAAAGCTTGTCTGCGTTAGGAGGGATGTAGACAGGGGCCATGCCAATGGGTGGTACCCTTGCCGGACAGGGGCCGGGGGTGGTGACGGTTCCCGCCCTGCCCGTACCCCCGCTTCGCGTCTTGACGCCGCCCGTGCCTTCTGTTTCAGCATGGCCGATTGCAGAAGTTTCACGTGTTCCAGGCTCTCTTTTCTCAATCTCCACTTTTTTTGCATGCAAGAGGCGAGAGTCCTCTTCATGCATCGGGCCCGTCCGAAAAACACGTGAAAACAGGACACACGAGTGGGTTGTCTTGACGGCACCCACAAAGCTCTTTTTTTCCCCCCACTTGGTTTCACTCCTCTCTGCAAACGGCCAATATATCCCTTTTTATTATGCTGGTCTTTCCAAAATGACAACTACTCTCGCAGATCCTGGACATTGACCTCGATATCTGGAGGAGACGAGGCGGGGACGAAGCCGCGGGGGCGGGGACGGTGGGGAACAACAAGCCCGGGGTGGGCATCGAGGAGAGAAACTTCTCGCAGGACGAGCGAAGCGTCTCGCACTCGGCGGCTCTTCGAGTGCAGGTAATTTTGGCCCTGATCCTGATTGGACCTCGACCTCCTCGTTGTACGTAGACGTTTGGTATTTTTGGTGCTTTCGAGGAAGCCTGTTCTGTCGAAACGAACAAGGGAGTTGCGGTATGTTTTTCGCCGTGCGGTATGTAGCTCGTACAAAAGTTCCAATCATGTTACGAGTCATACACATCCAGGTGACGGCTTGCGCGCCGTGACTCTCCCCAGGCCGCCATTTCCCGCTCAGTTGCCCCGCAGCACGGAGAGGGCCGCAAGCGGATTTTTTTTTTAATTTTCTAGAGGTAAAACACCCCCTTAGATAAAATTGGCGGTCAATACCGGCTCCGGGGGGTGGGCTGCACATTCTCACTCAAGCCAAAGTACTCTCTCGTTCGCAGTGCGGATCGTTTGATAATCTTGATTGTATCGGGTGAGGCCTCAAGCGGCGGCCGGTGGTCTGGCCGAATTGTTTGTTGTCGTATTGCTGGCCATCGGCGCAGGGCCGCGTTCTTTAGAGGCTCGCCCACCCCCAGAGAACTTGGCGCCAAGAGAAATAAAGTTGCGCGCGAACTACCCTGATAGGGCGGAGACGCTGGGATGCGTTCTCATCAAGAATATGTTCCATTTTCCTGGAAGATGACGTTGCTTAGGCTCCTCGTCGCTGCGGGTGCTGACTGGCTTGTTTCGTCGACACACGGTCCAACCCGTCGTCCCGCAGCCGTACTTTTGCGAAAACATACCGGTTGGTCTGTGGCCAATTGTCTAACAACTAAGGCATGCAAAATATGAGTACGCCCCCCCTACCCCCTCCCCCGGCCAACCCAATTCGCCGAGTGAAGGACATGACACTCGCCGCAGGGCGGGCGGCTCTTCGAAAGCTTCGAGCCGAGCTGCGGCATTCCGGCGACGGGGAAGGGTCGGGTAGCGTGGTGATACTGGCCTCGGCGACAACGAATGCGCAGCACCTAGGGGAGCTCCTGCTGCCCGTGAGGGTGAGCGTTCCCCTAGAGGCATCTCTTTGTGGGTATCTGTGCAAACGTTTGGTGTTTCGAGAACAGGATAAGCTTTGATGCCGGAGTTCCAAACGGGTTGATGTAACAAGCGTCCCGATTTTGATGAGCCAAATATTGACGCCATCATCCCTAACGTCATCAACACCACCTGTACGCAGGGGTGAACATTATGTTATGGTTGTGGTCAAGTACACATATGGTAAGTACCCCACGAAGACCTTGGATGGTCGAGGCCATAGCTTGGAACCCAGGCGCGCCACCGTTTCAGAAGGCTCTCGTCGGTGAAGCTATATGCCAAGTTCGGATCCACCGTTGGCGAGGGAAAGGGGATGAGGCTGAAAGCATCTCGTTGTACAAGTGGTGATATGCGCTTAGGAAGTAATCTGTGAGAGTTCAGTTGGCCACTTCTGGTCCTTGTCAGCGAAGAGAAGCGAAAAAAGTGAATTACCACACAAGACACACACGGGCCCACATCATGGCCTCTAGAAGCGTTCTCCCTTCTTTTCCGCACTGAGACTGGCGTCTTTTTATTGGTCAGCCAATTTTCGCGGTCGATACGAGCAGTGAAACACACACACGCAATTTGCCCTGCTTCTCCCTCCACCTTCGCAGGCAATGACACGCCTTGGACGCTAGGTGAAATGATCGAAACATCTAACGTGTGTCCTGCGCCCCCCCCCCCTTCGCTCAAAACCCTAGGCGATAGAAACCCTGCTTTCTCTAGATTTTTCGAGGCCCGTGAAGACAGACGTGGGACTGGGACAACAGTTGGCTGTTGGCGACGCCGCGGGGGCGGCGGTTGAAGGTCTTGGACTGCTGCCTGGGGGATCTTCGCCGATTGTCATCACCGGCGACGCTCTCGAGGACTGGCTGGTACAGCCCGATGACGTCAAAGGACAGGATGATTCCTAATAGACCATTTGTTGATCACACTGGTGTTGTGTTTCGGGAGAGGTAGGCGATAACTGCCAAACAGTTTCTGGCGCTTCCTCTATCATCGGTGAAAGCCAGATCATGTTTGTTTTGTTTGTTTTGGAGGGGGGGGGGTAAGTAGAAGCGAAGGCGATCTGGTGTACTGTTTTCTTTGAACAAGGATGTTTGCTTTGAAACAAAGGGAAGATTGGTGTTTACGGTTAGGCTGGCTCCAAGACTTGGAGATGCGGATCGTGGCTGATGAAACAAATTATGTCCACCTCCGACATCTGCGAGGCATTGCTTCCGTCAGGACTACGTCATCAGACGTTACCTGCAGGGCTAATAGTGTGGAAACCGTGACGTGCCTGTGCGCACAGCAGGATCGTTTTCTGTCCACCCTGCTAAAGCAGTGCAGCGTTCCAGGACACTAATGTTTTCTCGCGTTTGGAAAAAGCGGCGGCTGTCAGCAGATTCCCCGCCACCCCCATCTTTTGGATCATGCCCGAGGCCTAGGTGTTGATGCTTGCGCTTCGCTCAAAAATCTTTAAGAAACCAGCCAAGACGGTAGTCAGTCCCCGCTCCCCGCAAGTCGACCCGCCACCGACCACTGCCTGAGCACCTCGTACAAAACCACCGTGCCCGCAGAGGCCACGTTGAGGGAATTCTTGAGCCCGAACACTGGCACCTGCGAGACGCCGGCATTTGCGGAACAAGGCACGAAACGAGACGAAAAACAAAACGACGCGATGAATCTTGAGAGGTCCTGCCATGTCGAATTTCATGTACGCTGTCTCTCGAGAGCAGCAAATAGCCCTTCGTGAGATACGACACTACACGCCGGGGATTTAGTATGAGCTTTGGAAGAATTTGCAACTCCATGTGGTACTCAGATGCCACCCAATCGTTTGGGTATTAGAACTTTCGCCCCTCTTGGGGGCCCTGAACAAAATACCAACCATGATCACCCCGAATGTGTCGAGGGGGTGCCGCATCCTAGCTCACCTCTGGCATGTACAACTATCCAGGCCTCACAACGGTGGTGTCTGGGTGGACCAGTTGAAAAACCTTCTCGTTTTCGGGGCGAACACTGGTAGGTCTCTGGCCACAAAAATCGCACCCAACACCTCTTGCGCGCAAGAACGCCAAACATTTCCCACTCACTCCCCCGCTAGGCACTCACCTCCACCACAAGGTCGCACAGACCAAGCACCCTCTCGTCTACGCCCGTCACCTCGTTGCCCAAGACAAGAGCCACAACCCCCCCCTCCTCCAACTCCAAGCCGCCTCTCGAACCCCCGTCTAATCGTTCCACCGCGCGTCCATCTGTCTTAGGGGCCCGCGCTTCATTTTCGCTGTCCTCAGCGGCGAAACTACCCCGCACAACGTCCCCGCCGCCGGCCGTTCCCGCATCTACAGCCGAGGCGTTTTTCGGCCGGGCTTTGCCCTCGAGAGCGGGGGGCAGCGGGAATCGCACGTCGAAGAGCGAGGAGGCGTTGTCGGTGGTCTCGAGGGCGCAGACGAAGGCTCCCGCCGCCTTGAGGGACCGGACAGCCTCGGAGGGGTCTTCGAAGTGGCGGTGGGCGACCGCGTCCACGCTCCCGAAGCCCGTCTTTCGCACCTGCGATATATATCATCCTCAAAAACTGAAAATTAAAGAGTACCCAACAGCAAAACACTGCGCATCATCTACTGCAGCAGTGTCGTGTTTGAGCGCACCCATATTTATGAGTTTTCTTTTACAATTGTCAACCCCCCCGTTGATTCTGGACGTCGGTCTTGTACACCTTTCGGTACAACTGGACGAACCAGCCGGCGTCACACACAAGAACTTGCTACAATATACACAGGATTCTTTCGTCGGCGGTGGTGTTTTGATCCACCTCACGTTGGCTGTCTTAGAGTTCCTGCCCACCGTCACACACGTTTTGGAGGCCCGCATATATAAAGATCTTGAAAAACTACATCACGAAACTCACTGAAAACATATGCGTGTGTGCGGGGGCGACACCTTTACTTGAACGACCAAAATACCCAGCTCATTACTCGTGATCCGTAGAGTGCTGGGATAGCCAAGTTTCCGTGCAACGCATGCCGAAGACAAACCCTGCCAGTGTTGATGACAGCCTGCGGAGCAATAGAGTGAGCCGACAGTCCATCCAGCCCACCTTTTCTTCCCCGTGCCCCCCCGGATGCGGCGTGAATCCGCACGTGATCACCTCCGCCACTCTCGCGGTATCCGCCGACCTGCTCGAGAGTTCACCAAACGCAGGACAGCCAAGGGCAAACCGGGGGGGGGACATATAGTTGTGTCATGGCTGGAGCCACCGCACTAGTAGAGTGTTTTTCGCAAAGGGCAACCGAGCCTTCTTGTCTCTCATCGAGCTGTGTTTGTCGCGGACAATACTCTCGCTGCGCGGTGCGCCCCTTGAAGACACTACTTGTGTTTGCTTGTTTGCCGTCTCGGGGGTAGCATGTGCTGGGATTGCGACGACGGGCCTAGGTCGCTGGCGAAGGGCTATAGCACAATATGACAACACCCCGACCCCACCGCCACCACCATGAGTAACAGGAGAGAACCTCAACAGCAATGCAAGGAAAAGAACACCAGCAACACCAGCAACACCAGCAACACCAACAACAGCACACGGCCTTTCGACACAAAATGTGGCTTGTGGGCACATGGACGCACAGGGCGTCCTCGGCCTCACCTGAAAATCGACCCCACGTTATACGCCGACCTAGAACGGCAAGCGTTCAGAAGCAGCGGGGGCAGGTGCGCGCGCGTAGATCGGCAAGGGCGCAGAGCGGCACGGCCAAGGAAAGAGAAGCGGGACGACGCGTGAATGGTCAAGGGGGCCAGCGTGCCTTCGACTACCGCTTTGCCTCTGCTCTGTCTGGTTCTCTGAGCGGCGAAAGGCAAGGGGAAAGACGTTCATTTTATTCCCCCTGAGTGCTCTCTGCTCTGCTTGGTTGACCCTCGCCGTAAGGGTGACTTCTCTCGCTCTTCTCAGCCCATGTTACGGCAAACAGCGCGCGGTTAACCTGCGAACGTCGGGAACGTTAGCGTTAGCCAAGCAACCAGAGGAAGAGCCACTTTCACCGCGCCTTGACCTTGCGCCTGGCGTGCAGCACTACTGCGGTAACACCAAATGTCGCACCTCATGTACGTTTTGGCGCGAAACGGCTTCCGAAACGTTTTCCTGCAAATAAGTTCGAAATCTGGCTTCATTTTTGCAATTATTCGAAACATTTTCAAGTGGTGCTCATACATGGGCACCCCACACTACTCCGAATTTCGAACTTCGAAGAAATGGTTTTCAATCGGTGTGGCCCTTATCAGACGGCGCTCAAAACCGCGCGCCTGACGCGAAAAAAGCTGCCGAGAGGTATCAACTCCACCAATCACAAATTTCTGCGGCATCATCCCACGCACCGTGAGCTAAAGGATAAGCCAGGTTGCGAGCGGGGAAACTTCAGAAACGACAGCGGTGTTTGCTTCTTCACCTAACGTTGTCGCAGACGAGGGCCACGGGGTGTGCCACGAGGCCTCGCCTCTCGGCCTCCGTCATGCTAGCGTCCTTGTTCCGAAGGTACTCGGCGCGGTCAGCACGATGTCGCCGGACCAGGAAGGCCACCTGGCTGGCCGTACGAAGAGCCGCCCTTGCCACTGGCTCTTGCATCACCTTGCATGGGGGATGGGCGGGCGGGCGGGCGGGCGGGCGGGCGGGCGGGGGGATCATGCACTGTGCCTGCGGAGGCGTGCTTCCTCCTCCGGAAGGGATCCAGGGGCGGCGAGTTACATTCTAGAATATTTATGAGAAAAATCTTGGCAACAAGCATGGGTCGAAACAGCGGTGGAACGCACAAACATATGGCGACTACTTTTGGCGCAAGGAAGGACGAAACACATGGTATCTGCATGGTCCATGAACAAGAGGTGGTGATGCTGCGGTCTCGCTCTGCAGGTGCATGAAAAACTTGGCACATTGTCTACGCACAAAACTTGACGATCGTGCGGTTTCTTCGCGCTCGAGGGATGAAAACAATGGTCTTGTGTTATTTCGCGTGGCAGGAAATGGGTTCGACGCCTACGATGCCGTCTCGCGTCCGTGTCGTCCCGTCTCCGCTTCACCTTCGCCAGCTGCTTAGGGCGGGGCCGCACGAACGTATTGTAAGACTTGAGAGCAGCCGTTCCGAAGAACTCGTCCGCCTCCGTCAACTCCCTAGGGTCAACCCCGACCGTCACAAGAGCCTGGTGCGCAAACCACGACACAGAAAGGGCGCGCGGAGGGTTTCAGGATGCAGAGTATACGAGACGTATTGTGTCACACCTCTGTTACGACTGCTCGACTGGTAGCCCGGGAGTTAAAAAGTAGCACGTTTTTCTCTTGGCGACGTTGGAGATTTATCGCCGTCGGAGTTAAAAAAACGCTGCTGGTCGACCATGAACACCTTCCATTCACGGAGAGAATGGCCATGAAGTGCCGCCTAAGCGAGAACTGCCCGCCGACGGAACGGTTGTCGGCCGCTGAGGGTGACGTCTTCCTGGTACGCGGCGTCGTATGATGTGGTTCACCCACGGCCCGCATGCCATCAAACTCTTGTCTAGGCTTGCCGAGAGCAGCAGTGTCGGCAAAGCGCACCCCTCACCTCATCTAACGCTTCTTGCCGGGCAGCCGAAAACTCGTTCAACGGTCGGAGCTCGCCGACGACGTGTCCCCCCGAAGGCCCCATGCCACGGTCTTGGCCCCGCTCCCCCCCCTCAACTCCTGCCGCTGATTGCCTTTCGCTATCACCCCCACCAGCACCATTTTCAATGCCTGGGGTAAGCCCCCCGTCTACCCTCGTTGCTTCGATGTCCCCGCTCGCGCTGACGCCATCACCGTGTTGGGGCGCACACCAAAGCACCAGGAAGTCGTACCTGGCTGATCCTCGCGGGACTTTGGCGAGCGCGTCATCGTCAGCGCTACCACCACAGCTGGTGTCTTCTTCCTGGGCAAGGGACATCCACAGCTCTTGCCCCTGCCCCCACACGGCGCTGCTGTCTCGTATCGTGAGCGCGACGGTCGTGGCGGGGGGGGCTGGGCTCACTGCTGTCGCCCCCACCGTTCCTGCCGCCTCCTGCACAGTTGTTGTTGGTGGTGGTATTGACGATACGGCTAGTGAGGCAGTGGTATTGAGGACGTGCAGGAGACCGACGCCCTCGCCTGCTGTGAAGCCTTCGAGGAGCGGCACGAGCCCGTTCGTCACCACCTTCGTCACGGCCCTGCGTACAATTAAAGACACACGAGAGCATGACTGATGTAGCGGAAAAACGTTTGGGAATACCCACCGTCAGTCATACGTGGCAGGTGCAGCAGGATTGCTGCTGTAACGCAGAGTGCCAAATCCCCAACGGGGGTACTACGGGAGCAGTACGCTATGTTCGAAACAGGGCATGAGGTCCTTGCATACATGATCGTCCTTGGGCTAGCCGTTGGATACCAAGCAACCAGTAGCCGGACAAACGCGCAGCAGGGCCTCTGGCAACTCTGTCGGAAGCAGGGTTAACCCCCTTGGTACTGCCGTGTCGTTATTGCTGCATGTGCATGGGGTCTTGTGTGCCTCTTCTTCCCGCGGCGTCAGCAAGACGAATCGCCCACGCCCCCGTTGCAGGTCCCCCCTACCCACACTCGCGCACGCCTGCTGCAAAACCTTGAACAATGCATAGAGAAAAAACTAAACGGGCCTAGGACAAGCTAAGAGAAAGCTGGCGCGTTGTGTATGGTCAAGCGACCAGCTCCGGCCCAGGTCCACACAGAAAAATCTCCCCCCGTAGTGAACGCGGGCAGGGTCAAGCAGCCAGTACAGATCTCGAGTGTGAGGTAATGTCAAGCGAAGTCGACTCGTGTATTATCACCCACGGGGGCTCGGTGGCCCAAAGGTCGGTAGGGTAGATATGGGTTATCGACTCATCGCGCACCTGCATCTGTCATCCGGTCCTCGCGGCGGCGGCAGGGTAACGGAGAACCGCGCCTGGTGCCACGGTACCAAAGAAGGGGACGGCGGGGACGCCGCGGTTGTCGCTGCCGCCGGAGAAAATTCGCTGTGAGGTGACTGCGTGTCCGACGCGGCGGAACCAAGGAGACTTCTTCCTGGGGTCGCAGGGGCGGGTGGCCTGGAGAGCTTGTCCACGGAACATGGTTGGCGGCGGCTCGAGCTGGTGTCGAAGTTGTGGTTGCGTCGCGAAGAATGATGGGTTGTGTGCGGTCCCAGCCAGGCGATCGACTGCTCGTTTCGCGGCCGATAGAAAAACCATGCCAAAAGACGGGCGGCAACCGGCCCGTGACGTTGTATTTAGTACATCGGTCATTGCTTCTGCCACTGACTATGTACAATGTGGAAGATTTCAAGGATGAAACTTGGCGCTGACACGTCGGAGGGGCGGGAGAAAGGTTTCACACTGATTGGGACGAGTACATCCGGGAACGCCACATGGGATGTACACATGTCCAGACAACAGTACAGCGATGCCTCTTGGAGCTACAGTACAAGTTAGGTTAGATATCGAAACAAAGGCCAGCAAAGACTACACAAGAAAGGCAATTTGTGGGCAAACGGAAAATAGTGGAATGGTTCCATACAAACGAGGCCTGGAAGCTTCGACGGGAAGGCTCTTGGTACAGCGGTAGCTACATGTTGCGGGGCCCGGTTGGCCCAGGGTCTGTTGTGTGTGTTTGCTGTCTATTCTACACCTCGGCCCCACAGGCACCGATGCACTCGATTCAACTTGCTTCAAGCTTCCAGACCACGTCGTTAGGCTCGTACAGCAGAAGCTTCAAAAATGTGTGCTAGACTCAACTGTTGTGTTGGCTAAATAGTACATCAATGGGATAGCAGTTTGTATTCTACGTACGTGCATGTACTGGCTGTAGTCTCTCTGCACAACAGTAGACCACCGCACCAACTCGCTGTATGCGGCTGTCACATCTCTTGGTATGTTCTACGCAGCACAGCTGTGCATTGCCACACTCTGAACTAGAGCGCACCTGCGATGGCGGTGCCACCAGTACCCACGACGTTGTCAAGACAGTCGCCCACCTTACGCAGCCAGCAGCCGACCCCATAGCTACATGCCAGTGCTCCCAAGGCCGATGCGTTCGGCAGACGAAAGGACTGTCACGATGCGGCCCAACCCAAATGCGGCGTTATTTGCTTTACGCTCTCCAGCTCTCCAGCTGTAGCCGCACATGTTGCAGCATCTATGAGCGAGTTGGAGCTGCCGTCATCTGGCTAGACCTCTGTCCGTCCACAGGCTCTTCACCTGATTCGCTGCGGATACGTCCCAAGGAGGGGGGCAGTGCGTGTACTGACGAGGGACTTCCGTGACATACTCATGAGAGACGACACATGTTTTGGTATGATTTAAATAGCAAACTCCGGTCTAGCTGTCATCTATCAGCCCACATGGTCTAGTGGTATGATTCGACATTCGGGTTGTCGAGGTCCGGAGTTCGAATCTCCGTGTGGGCCGATTCTTTTTTCTTTGCCAGATGATACGAATTTTTGTCTGTGCAGGAAAACGTTTGTGAATGAAGACAACATTATCTATATCTATCATACATACGCATTTTCCATGTACAGAAGTACCAAGCAAGGCACGTCCAACCACGTATCGCGTTTTTTTTTGTGTACACGGCCACGGCGGCACACTTTTTTATTTCTCTCGTTGTGAAAGAAAGAACAAACTAAAGAACGACTCGGAGTCAAGTCCCACCACTCGCGATTGATAGCGAAGAAACTACAGTTCCAGACAACAGAAAGAGAGATGTTCTCCAGCAAGATTGGGAGCACGGCGGTGGAGTTCTAATGCAGCATCGACGAAAGCCGTTGAAATCCGCCTTACAACTCACGTTTCGAAGTGTCAACACCTTCTTCCTATTCTCATGCATACCGCTACCTAAACCTGTAGAGGTAATTGTTTGGCATGTTTCCGAACACTTGTTGACTTCAAAACGCTGCATCGAACTAGGCCACCCTACAAACTTGTTAACTCATGTTTCTGGGTCTGTCTGCCTTTTTCGCTAACATGCGAAGGGCGTTCGAACGCGGATGGATGTCGTGTATCATTCTGCATTGTCACAAAAAAGACTGACTGCATGTATCCCTATTTTTCGGGAACAAACCGACGACGATTGCGGTCGACACAAGTTCCTTAAACCCCCGACAGCGGTGTACTATCCCCCCCCCAGTAGCAATCATATCACTTTTTTTCCCCTCCGCCCTTTGCCCTTCTCCCCTTGCTCAAGGACGCCGTTGTTTCCTGCATCGTTTCTTTGCTCGATACCTTTTATCGTCCGGACTATTCCCGCTGCTGCTGATCGCCATGGCGACTGCCAGAGCCGCTGCTGATGACGAAAACCTAGCCGACGATGTGGGAAGACCAACGCTTTTAACTACCTACAGTATCGAATATGTGTGTGTGCTGTCAAGACGCAACAAAAAAACATGCGGACTGTGTTGTATAAGATCTCGTGTACTTCGAGGAAAACCCTATGGTACGAACGGTCGCGATCCTATAATCTATTGTCACTTGCCGATGAAGCATGGTTACATTGTGCGACATTTTAGCGTTTCCGTCATTGCTGTCTATTCAAGCTTCATCCCCCGCTCCTCCGGTCCCGCCCCCGATTTGCAGCAGAGTCATCTCCTTCTCCACCGATCGCTTCCGGTCTTGGAGCGCGTAGATGCGGTTCCTGAGTGGCACAACCTTACTGTACATGAACTTGACCTTCACGTATAGCCTTGCAGGCGACGGTACCCACCGGTTGTTCGCCTGCGGAGCACCATGACAAACAATATCACCGTGTCATACACGTATGGAGTGCGTAGATTCGTTCTATCGAATTCCCGAATGCCCGGCTAGCACGGGGCGATTATGGGACAGTTGGCAAATTATCGAATATGAACCACAGATTGCTAGACATCTTCATGGCATATGGCCATCTTGGTCGTCGGCGGGGTTCACTCCTGTGCTATTGCACAAGAATGGCGATAGCACAAGCGCGTCTTTCCTACAGCCTAAAAAAACAATGCGCATCAACATGATAATACCGAGTAATGTCCCTACTCCTTCTGCGCCCTATGGAGGTTTGCTAGACAACTGCAACATCCACGCACTCTTCGGGCAACTCCGTGCACTATGTTGGCCCTTCCCTGTCTTCCTCACAACGTTGAGGTTTCTCCACTGGTGCACACCAAAACGTCTGCGGTAGTGATTGCCGGCCTTCACAGCTGGCCGCAAGCAGGAGTCACCGCCGGCGAAAATCGCCCGGCATACACCAAAACCCGAAACCTCGTTGACCACAACCCCGCCTCCAACAAGCACTCGAAACCGCGCGGCTTGCCTTTTTGAGCACGGTAAGCGGCAAATCGTGCTCCCTCTGGTCCGCCAGCTCCCTCAGCGAGACCCGGCACGTCCCGGCTCTCTTCGGGGCCCCGGCACTACTGCTCCCCCCCCCCTTAGCATCTCCGCCCCCCCTGGACATAGAAGAGGACCCCGAGTGCCTCGCCTGCGTCACGTCGAAGACAAGCTCTGCGTCCTGCGAGCGTATCGGCGCCATCACAAACACCTGGCTGAAGACCATCCCGGCAACGGTTGACGCTGCGCTGTCCCCGCCGCGGCCGGGGGGGGCGGGGGTGCGGCTCCCCCGTTCGGCGGGACGGCTGGCTTGGAGTGCGGGTCCCGGGGGCGTTTTGTCGCCCTGCCGGGAGTTGCGCAGGGAAATGACGATCGTTGTGGCCTTTCGCCCAGGAGCGTTTCGACGACACGGTGCAAGGGTCGAGAGAGGAAACGGGAGGGGTCTGGATTGAGGTGCGCTTAACGCTTTCAGACCTATTCTTCCTGGAGACAAGCTACCATCGGTGGGGTGGAACGCCTGTCTACATCTTCAAGGTAGATATGTTTCTACATCTTCGAGGTGGAGATGGGGTAGAAGTTTGTATGCTGTTGGGGCGTTTCGTGGCTACACCGTGTGTGCCGAGCTTTGCAACCAAAGCTTCGCTCGAGTGCCTCCAGAGCCGAATAGTCTAGCCTGCGACCAATCAAGGTGCCGTTCGACTCTGTTGGGACCTACATGGGGGTCCCCTTCCATGCCATCGAGGCGAATAAGCTTGATGTTGAGGCATCCCAACGGCAGGCCGTGCTTGGTCTCGCCTATCCCCGTCTGCTCGTTGAAGGTCTCGTGCTGGTATGCTCCCTAAGTTGAGAGAAGGAAAATAACAACATTCACGGTTCGGTCGGATGCGGGGAGCGCACTAGTTTGGGCAACATTGTTTGTTGTGAAAATCCCCCTCACAGGCAAAAAATAATACCAATGCGCCGGCCACAAACGCCACAAAGTAGTTGCGACGCAGCTGCACCCGGGGTGAATTGCGACGTGGAACATCAGACCCTGACAAGCATGGGGTAATACATGTACTGGGACACACGTTTAGCCACACCGTCTTGGTCCACTGCTGAAGGATCAGCATGAAATCACAAAACAGTCACCTAACAGCATCGACCACTGCCGTACACAGCTACTAATAAGACACCCACCCGTTGCGTGCGTGCCGCTCGGTCTTCACGGTATGGCGTGCTGATTCTGCCTTTGAGAACACGCCACACACATTTTCTCTGCTTATTACCCTATTCTCCTCTACCTGCAGCTGCTCCTTGACAATCTTGAGGCTCCTGGTGACGTCGCGAAGCTCTGTTCTTAGGCGTCCCAGCTGCACAGGGCAAGGTTGGAAACCAATGAGGGCCGAAGGGGCGGGGCCGGTAGAAAGAATGCAGGAGGAAACCGGTGTTGGTTATGAGTGGAGAAGTCGCTGAGGTCGCCAGGTTGCAGCATCTTGTGCCTTCGAGGTGTTGTCAAGCATAGATGCGGATGCGGCGACAATGGTGTCAGGAGCCATGGTCGAATGACTCTCAGCTTGGCGAACGTAGTGTACCAGTCTTCACATAGGAACGAACCCCAAGAATATGGGAAACATACCAGAAGTCGACATGCACCCAGTTCTAGGAACGTGCCATGCATTCGAAGCGTTCTAAGCGACTTTGTATCATGATTATCTGCAGAGGGATGGACTCCTGTCCAAGGAACACAGGTTGTTGCTTGGCATGCACCTAGTTCTGGGGGCGTGCCACACGATCAAAACGTTCTGCCCCCTTCGGCGGTGATACAAAAAAAAAAAAACTCTTGCCCTAGCGGTATTGTACGTAGGCCGATACAGGTGGGTGTCTGTGTTCGGACCCTTGTGACGTCTTGACGAGCCAAAGGGAGGAGAAGAGGTGCGAAGAAACACCAGGCCTTATCGAGATTCATGAGTTGAGGCCACCTTCCGAACAACGCCTTGAGTGGGTCACTTCTGGTCTGCTCTTCTACCAAGGGAGTTTGCACGCGGGTCGAAGTTGTCGCAGGTTTGCTCATGGCGGGGTGTGAACAACCCTCCAAGTTGAGATCCCTGTTGGGTCTCCCCGTAACAATTGACCACCCAAAGCAAGGGGACAACTATGGCTCAGCTCGCCTGCGCGGAAGCCCCCGGAGAGAGCTGCCTCCCGCGCTGTTTCCCGTCAAACTGAAGGCCCACGATGTCCAAGTTTCCCCTGTGCTGGGCCTCCCCCCCTGGACCCTGCGTTTCACCCCCACCGTCCTGAACAAACCCGTGAAGATGCTTCTCAACAACAAATCTAGTGGGGGCAGGGGCGGGCGAAAGCGAGGCAGGGCGCAAAATAGGTGTGCTTTTGCCGCAGCGCATGGACGTTGGAGAGAATGCAGCTATAATACTCTGTCTGCTTCAGACCGGGAAGGAGTACGCCGGTTCCATTGTGGCCTCGGGTAGATTCGCGGGCTGGCGAAATTCACTCATGATTTCCGTCTGCGTGACACAGTTGCCGCCTGGAGCAATTGCGAGAGATACGTTTTCGACATCGTCGTCCCTGTCGCCCCTCTTCTAAAGGGGGACCTGGTAGCTTGTTCTAGAAGGAACACAGTTGTGTACGTGCACTTGTCTTCGTGAGACCCAGAGCAAATTTGTGTCGCGGAGTGATTTGTGTCGCGTGCGATGTTTCGGGGGATTATCTGACGACCACGGTCACAACGCCCACCTTTGACGCGCTTTTATTATGGCTAAAGACGCCGGCTGGTCTGGGATGATGACGTGCACCAGCACCTTCAAGAGCAGCAAGGCATGCTCGAAGACGAGCCAAGTCAGAAACCTGTCCTCGGTTGATCTTTCCCCGATCAAGGCACACAAGGCATCGTCCACGAACGGAGCCAGCAGCAATGGGAAAAGTAAGCAAGTTGTTCACGAACTCTGTTTCTTCTCTAAACGGTAACAGAATAAAATCCTACTTCTTTCGTAGCCAAAGCAAGTAGTCATATTGTGCGCGGTCTTCCAAAACGCCATGCTTACTCGTCTTGTAAGGTGCCCCCCGTGAAGCAAATGATGGCTGTGTTGGTAAGCACCGCCAGGAAGCCCATGGCCTCCATCAGGGTGGACCACATCCCCACTCCCTCCGCCATTTCAGCATCCGGTCTCCTCATGAGGGACACCATCTTGTAGCTGTGCGCGCGAAGGCATCACGGCAGCGGTTGTCGAAGGGAGGGGGAAGGGCTACGCATCGGCATCGCAGCAGCCAGACACCGTCTAACAAAGAAAAAAAAGGTACGATGGTACGTAGATTGTTTCGCGACGTGTTGCCTTCGAGACCCCAAATCAACCTTGGAAAGCCCACACTCTGCGAGCTGAGCTACCAAGACCAGGAAGTAGCCGGGGGTAGACTTGACCTCAACGAAGAAACCGTTTCGATCATATCGCTAAGCTTCAAGATAGCTAAGGACTACCATTTGCTGTGAAAATCTTTTCTTCGATTCTGCAGCGATGCCGCCACTGCGACGAACGGTCAGCAACACTGCGAGGCAGATAGCACATCCACACGATGGCGTTGCTGCATACGCCTTTCGAAGACCTGTTTCGTTGATGAGCCTGCCCAGGTCGAACAAAAAGCTCGAGAAATCTGATTTTCGACGAGACTGTTCCAGAAACCCAATCGGCATGACCACGTACCTGTCTGTCCTTATCTGGAGCAAGACCTCCGCGATGGCGAAGAACGTCACAATGGGCAGCGCCGACGGGAACATGGTGATGTAGCCATACTGCAGCACTATCTCCGAGTAGTCCGAGAACGGTCCGCCGTACTCAGGAAGTCGCAGTTCCGCCTCTATGGGCTCTTCCTCTCCTCCCTTCCCGCTAACATCCTCCTCTGCCCCGTCCGCCGCCCTGCCGCGTCCTCCGCGCCCTTCGCCACCGGCGACAGCGCTACTTCGGTGACGATCCTCGTCGGCCTACAAGGCAGCAACAAGCCGGAATGTGCAATGAATTCGAAGAGACCCTTGTGAGACGTAGCGATGGAGGATGGTACAGTAGTGCACCGTGGGGTTTCAGAAAATTTAGGACCATAAACTTGTTCTGGGAGTACTACATCAGGAACCCGTTTGGCGTTTGAGTCTGGAAGGATACTTCAAGGGCCCCGTGCGGCCCGATTCGGCGGTTCGTTTCGTTATTTTCCGGTTACAGCAGAAAGTCGGGTTTATGATCACCACCTCAACCTTTTCGCCTTCGTTTGCATCTGTCTGCCCGTAGCACCATTTTCTATCCACAAGCGGCTTGTTCTGGACAAAAATTCCCGGCGTGTAGCACTGCGATACTTTGGGATGCTATCGCCGGAGTTAGCTCGCGGCCGTGAGTCGATGTTGACAACGTCCCATTCCACGACTGGGCCACAAGATCGTCTTTGGCTCGGTTTTGGTACGCCGCTCCGCCTCCATCACCTGCTCGATTCCCCTGCCCTTGCCCTTAGCGGCTGCGTCCAGCATGCGTGACGTAACGAGGGGAATGATGACCTCCATGCCAACCATGATGAAGCGGACGGCGAAGATGGCGACCAGCAGCAATCGCACCTTCCTCGTATCGATGTTTGTTTGCACGCGACGGTATCATGGCCGAAACGTTTGACGTCAACGAGCACGAGCGATACGGGAGGTCATTGCTGTGAAGAATTTTCGCTTGGTTTGGTACAGGGAAAGGCCAGAGTATCACCTATCGGAAGTGGTAATATTGCGCCACGTAAGGAGAACATGGCGGAAAGGAACGAACGTTGTCATTGTGATGCAAGTGCATCCTTCTGGTCTCTCACCTTTTCTTAGCCTACTGTTCGGGACCATTTTTTCCGCTCAAAGGTAAACATGGGAGACGGGGCTATATGTATATCTCGCATTCCCTTGGATTGCTTCTCCACGTGTGACGGACGGCCTGACGCAAGCTGGACGCAATTCTCCCGAGACACTCTCGGCTTACTGATTCTTCCTTGGAACCCGCGAGGATTGTCAATAATTTTCCCTCTACGCCGGGGTTGGATAAGGTATTTCAGCGGTGTCACGTACCGCTGTCTCAAACCAACTTGATGACAAACGCCTACCGCAAGCGTTACCGCACCTCATATATGCATGAGTCGGTACATCCGTAGATTTGCTCCTCAATAAAGGCCGTGTAGCACAGGGCGGAGTAGTTGTTGAACATCTGCATGGCAGGAAACGAACGAAGCCGGGAGTCAATGCATTTCATGCGGCCGTAGCATGACCCCGGGAAACACTTGATTCTTGCGTGCAATACCACCCGAAGTGCTGAACATCCAGACAAGCCAGAAATTGGACGGAACCAACAAAACCAACTCATGCACTGAGGAAGAAAGCACGGCACGCAAGGATAGGAACACCCACGCCTAGTGACGCGAGGAAAAGAGAAAGGAAAACTGTAGCTGCGGCTATTCGAAGCCTCGAGAAGGGACTGACGGCCACACAGAGGCTCGGAGATGGAAAGCTGTTCAGCTACTGGGACGATCGCTGTGCATGGTAGCATGGATGAGCGGGCGGGAACGGAAATCCCTAATAATCTCTGCCAAAGTCGAATACTGCAAGGGCTTACTGGAGCGGACAGGGTCTTAGTCTTGAATCGCGCGGATACATGCACTAGAAAAGATGAATGAGTGAAGCTACAACACGGAGAATTTCCGTACAGAATGACGAACAGAGATATGTGCGCAGTTCGGCCGGCGGGTGGTGGTCTCTGTTTCTCTGTGTGTCTTCTTTTCCCATGTCATTGGCCGATACGAAGGGAGTCACAGAGGATACTTATGTCCGGTTTTATGAACCATTTCCTCGCCGGGGCCGGTCTAGTCAGCCTGAGCCCAAAATTCAAGCCACCGACAAAAGACAACTGACAACATCGTTCATCAGCGCACTACACCAAGTGAGCGAATGAAGAACTCGCATCGCCAACAGCTCGGCACAAAAAAAGGAGAGCCTTGCGAGGCATCAATGATTGACTCGACCGTACAACAATCGGCAGCATCTCCGTCTGGAGTTTAGACATCTGCGGTGGATGGTCAACAGCACAGCAGTTGTGTAGCCCGGACACGGAGAGACGTAATGATCTCGGCCATAGAAAGTGGTAATTCACCCAAAACATTGGCCGTGTTGACAACCCAGACGCCGACAATACCGGGTCTAGACGGCGTCATGGGGAAAAGGAAAAAGTGGGAAAATTAGAGCATTCCCAGAGTGCAACTTTGATTCCTTCAGTACCGACCATTCTAAAAAGCATCGTTGTCCCAAAACCCATGCTCCTGGAAAGGGCAAAAAACAAGCCTTGACGAGGAGAGCATTATTTCTAAGGCGCCACAACTGGAAAAGGAATGAGTTGGCAAGTGAGGGTAGCTCTGCGCAATAGCACACCTGAAAGAGGAATGTCTTGAAGATGAGGTTATTCTCGTAGTCTGTCTCCGTGCGGTAGTTCTCGAAGTCGTTCAGCCTCTTCACCACGCGGGAGTAGACAAAAGAGAGGAACTGGATTTGAAGGGACGCCAGGAAACTCGTTGCGTAGCCTGCCCACCTGAAGGTTCGAAAGACGCTCATCCAATGAGAACGATGTTCTTGCTCCGAACGAAGATACAATGCAATCATTGGAAAACTTATTCGTTAAGTGCTTGTTCACAAAGCACGGTGTCCTCCATTGAACGACATTCTATCGGCGACACAAGCAGTGCAACACTGGAAAAACAAACCGTCTTGTGACCAGACATCCGAAACGACCTCTCCTACATTGCTGAGAATAAACTCCCTGCGTTTCCCACAGATTCGTAAGTAACAATCCTCCCAAGCGGATTTGCAGACAGCATCAAGTAGCGCTCTCTTCAGCCGAAAACACGAACGAACTCCGTAGAAATACCGCCGCTAGTAGTTAAGAACGGTAGGACCCGTTATCTCTCGGTCCCGCAACCAAATGGAGAAACTACAAGATTATAAGAATTTCGTTTCAATACGCCGCATAATAAGGCTAACGCCCTAAACACAGAAGCGAGAATGTAGTTGTCTTCAAAGGCGAACACTATTGCGAGGCGCCTGGCCATTTTCTGTGTGGCAAAAGGGAGGCCACAAGGGAAGGTCATTCCCACCCCAACTTTTCCGCGATAGGAGTCAGAAGGAAGGGTTCATCTGCTGGATGGTTCCACTGGATCTAATACTTGTGTGTTCGATGTACATACCCATTTTCCTCACGGCGAAAAATAGACCTCAGGGCCTACGCAATCCCATTCAGGTCGGCTATGGGTTGTCGTGGTGACCTTCACCCCGGGTGCAAAAAGATGAACCAAGTTCCGAGGTTTACACCGTTGGGATACCATCGATAAATACGACCGAGGCAAACCTGACCACGACTAGGTGGTGTGTTCTTCCTTCACGAAACGGTACGGCAATACTTACGTGTAGCCGAGGTCGGTTTCGAGGTAGTGCTCCAGCCATTCCACTAGGCCGACGAGCAAGAGCAAGCCCGCGACGAACAGGAGGACTACCACCAGCCCTAGCACTTGGCGAATCTGCGCCAAGAGCAAACAGCCGATGCTTGTGATGCCAGCGAGCATTTCAGGTTTGCAACGGCATGCAGGATAGTTCTGACGCACGCTTCTCTGTCGCGCGGGTAGACTACGAATCCTACTGCAATTGACGTGTGGGAAAGTTCCGAAGCGACGGAGAGATGGACACTCTCATCGCACGGCGTTCTTTCTACTCATACTTCCAGACGAGGGATTCGGTCTCTCGCCGAGAGAGAGGGCCTCACTATCCACTCGAAAAAGCGCCCCCCACGCTCCACCGTACAGATGTACGCAAGAACCCGAACGTACGCACACCCACTGGTGCTCTGGCAACCTCGTCTTCTACCACTCTAGAGAATCTTCCGCGCACTGCTGAACTCCGGGTGGGGGTAGCGCGGGACCGGTAACGCCAGGCAAAAATTGCTCGGATACCAATAGAAACACAGTTTGTAGGGTCACTTAACGCTGTGCATATATTGTTTTTGTATATCCTGGGACTCTACTTGTTCAATCATTTCTCCCCAGATTTTTTTTTGTTTTCGCGAAGAATGACATAAAAAGTGCTTCTGGCATCGATTACTCCCGGTTCGACATATTCACACCTTTCGCTTGTGCTCCGGATAGTAGGTCTGGAAAGTGTTCGTTACCGGGGAGCGACGTCGACCACCCCCAGGGCTGTCTTTGTCGCCCTCGAAGTTCGGTCTGGTGTGGAGTCATAACACACGGTAAGGAAAGGAAACAAAACAAAGTAGAGTCCGCTCATCTTGCTGTAGATGGCTTTCGAAAGAAGCGGAGGGGGAAATGGGGGGGCGCCTGGCGATTCGACAACAACAACAAGCTCGCACAGTTTGTGAGGCATCGTTTATACGCAACTTTGCAAGGACCCGCCTCCCAAGCATGCCGACAAACACGATCGATAGCCCAGCCGAGTACGTGTACCTGTCCTTTTCGATCTCCTCGAAGCCAGAGGTGCCCCACTTGACCGCGATCACTTTTTCTTCACGATCCCACAGCTCTTGGTAGATGACGCTCCACAACACGATCCCCACCGCCATGGACACCTGTTTCGAAATGTTCATTGTTTCTGCACTTCGGCCCGGGGGGTTCTTCGCGTGGTACCTCACACTCTGCTGTCTCGACATCGCACGAGTCTGCCCGTTGCCACCTTTCCTACTTCGCTGTTGGTTATGCGTATGGCGTCTTGGCGACATGCTACAGCAGTTCCTAGCTGAACGGTAGAGGCGCACACACACGCGAGCCTGGGAACACAACCATGGTTATTCCATAGCCAAACACAACCATGGTTATTCCATGCCCACGTCTGTCGGAATACTCGAGAAGGGCCGGCGCGGCGCATCCGAAAGTTGCAACACATCCAATGTTGGACGCGTTTCTGCTGCATGCCTGGCATGTGGCGTAGGTTGACGCCGCAACCGACCGGGCGACGGCACAGCCGTTCACTGTTGTATATACCGCTGCTGCGATCAACCTGAGGCTCCCACTAAAGAGGGGAGAGCACTTCATCGGTTTGGTTACCCTGACCATTAGGCAAAAATCAGTCACAGAACCGGGTTTCTGTAAGCCTTTTCTGAACTACAGTACCTGGCGAAAAATATCCAGTCATCACCTGGGAGAACGTCCACCCTGACTCTTCGAACGTGATCCCCTTCACGAGGATGTAGATCTCTATCCCGACCCCGTACAAGGCCGGCACGATCAGTGCCCACCTTCGGTAGTTGTGGGGTTGGGAACGTCGTGGGACCATTCGTGCGGTAGGTGAATCGGGTCATTCACAGCAAGGCCTGAATTGTCCCCAAATCACATTCGTTCCTAAAATCTTCCGGGGAACTTTTCAAAGTGCACCCCCCCTCCTGACACCATTCTCAAGCCACGTTGTTGTTGATCTGCTTCATGCGTCTTGTAGAAATCCACGCCTACGTTTTTTTCTCCAATCGGCTTGATGCGCAAACCCGAATGCTATTTAAAGCGCCTGGTTAAAGATGTCATGCGGGAAGTGATGTATGTGCGTACGTGCCGTTTTGTTCATCATTTGAAAACCAGACAACTCTCAGCAGTCTTGAACATTGTTCTAGGTGAGAGAAACATCTCGCTCCTCCTATTAGGTTCCGCCATGAACTCTACACCTAACTTCCATTTCTATATTTCTATACGCTTCGACGAGATGCTGTAGTACCTGGGGTGAACTCGTGTGGCACCGCGGGGAAAACAGGGGCTAACTGGGAGGTTTGTCCACGCAGCGTGTATGTACTCTATTTTCGATGGTGAGATCGAGCGTTGCTTCCTCCCCAAACTGACGTGCAATGGATCTGCACATGCTCTGCACCATGTATTGATTGTGTTATGAGAGCTTGTTTGCTTTGTTACGTGTCTTCCATCTTCTGCAATGGCTATCGTATGATGTATGATGAAACATTCGAAAGGGAAAGACGGAGGGGGGGGGGGGGTCTTACGCGTAAAAACCTAGCCAGGCGAAGTAGAAGGCCATTTTTTCCCCGAAGTAGCCACGGATATCGTCGAGCGGCTGACAGAATAGCTGGAGGAACCACGGCGCGGAATTGCCGTGGTCCATCATCTGCACAATCGTTACAGAGCGGTCGATTGGAGTAGCAGGCTGGATCAGGTTGCCGCGTAACTATGTTGGCCTCAACAGTCTTACAGTCTAATCCCCAGAATATCACAAAAAATATGCACTCTTGTTGTACGAGTGCGAATTTCTCGTTCATCGGGCATACTCCCGAATTCCCGCGTGGCTCAATAAACACTGTGGTCCTTACACTTCTCTGGACCGCTGCATGCTCCACAACAACCATGTTAAGGTGGTGCTTCCTTCATCGACCGTCTAAGGGATTCCCACGTAGAGGCGAACAAGGCATTTTTCGTTGAAGGCGCATCTAAATGCGACCAACGATGGGTGGAGTTTTTTTTCATCTCAAGCTGGAGAAATGGATGATACCTACGGTAGATTTCAAGGATGAGCGAAATTTGGATGTACGTCAGTTAGCACTTGGCTGGGCGAGCGTTTCCGTTCAGGCTGCTCCCATAAACTAGACTACGACCTCATACGAAGACAACACCCTTCGCTCTATCTAGCACGTCATTTTACATCCCATCGTTGTGTCGTGGCTGTGCCCTACCTACACGACGCGTAACATTTAATGCATGCGTCAAACCATCAAGGAGCAATACATCAACGTGCCCTAGTTAACTTGCACAGCAAGACAAACACAGCAATTATATCAGGGAAGTATTGCGAACTTGCCCGCTCATTTTTGCACCCCAACAACATTGAACTGTTCTCATGTTCCCACCTGCATGCTGAGCATGGGGGCGCCGATTCGATCGCTTCTCTCCCGCCAGAACCCCAAAGTCCACCTTTTCTGCAAAACCTGAGGGTGTGGCGGTCGAACTTCTGCTTTGATCACTGAACGCCATCTACCTATTTTGATGCTTCGCACTAGTGATTTGCCTGGGTCGGGTACTATCTCGCTTTTCGTCCGCGTGCCAAAACATGGTGTCGTACGTTGAGACAGTTTTGCTATCCTTCGGGAATGTTTTGTGTGGCTTTACAGGCATGCGTGTTCCGTAGCAAACCAACCCTTAAAGAAGATTTTACGCTATTTTAGCGCATTTCAACGATTTGGTATCGGACAACTACGCATGTGTGCACAAGGGATATCCCAGTAGCATGGCTCTGTGGCGATGACCTTTCCCGCTAGGGTCGGCATACAATAGTACCACAGTACGCCATACCGCAAGGTCTACGTGTGAGAATGCAAGTTGTCATTGTTTACTGGTGGGCGTGCCACAACGCAAAGCGCAATGCATTGTGGAGAAAGTCATCTTGACCGAGACTAAGGAGGAAGCACGGTGTAGCAGGTCTCGCAACTCCCAGTGTGACTTACCTCTTTAGTGATGACCTCTCCCCGGTTTGCATCGTGCAGGGCGCACACTGCATCGACAATTCCCCTCGCCTGCAGAGAGAGAGAGAGAGAGAGAGAGAGAGAGAGAGAGAGAGAGAGAGAGAGAGAGAGAGAGAGAGAGAGAGTCAAGCGATAGTAGCGTCGAGAGGTGCTCGGGGAGCTCAGCGGCTCAGCATGTATATGGGAAGCGTGACCACGGGATTTGTACCATACTCCGAGGAAGACTCTGTTGTTAGGAGAGACTGTTCTAATCGTACAACAAGTGGGTGTTCAATGGTCAAATGGCCGAATGCGGACAAAGACGTAAGTAGAACAGCCGTTGCTAGCTGCAATTTTGATTCTAGACAAAATTCTTTTTGTTCCGGCTCGTGCCTTCATTCAAGCCCTATCGGTCAAGACTTTGATCTAGGAAGCATACACCATATGCCCCGCAGTCTTGCCTCTTGGGTAGGCGGCCCTTCGTGCATCTTATGACTATTGTATCTCCGACGATCGGTTCTCGCCTGCAACACTCCCATGTCGAAAAAGCTGTCGATGATGCCCTTCGTCAGCGCTAGCCGGTCCTTGGCCCGAAAAATCGTGCGCCCGCGGATACTCGGGTACGTCTTCGTTTTGCGTTCGATGAGATCGGTTGCAGAGATATACCAAAGGAAGCCTAACGTCAACACTGTTTGAAATAGGAGGCGGCGGTTTAGTACGGTAGGGATAAGGTACGCTTTCGTTCGTGCCCTACCGATACTCCCGCGTGCCACCACAAAGGCAGACGGGCATGGTGTCACCCTTAGTCTCGGCGGACAACCAATCTCCCGAAACGCGAAGGGACGATCATCACGATAGCCTTCGCCGCACGGTGGGAATAAATCAACACAAACACAAAAGATCGATGCAGATTGAGAAAAAGTGTTATAAGCATATGATTACGTGGCTCTCAGGAAGAATGCCAAGCAATCAAACCTGAAAGAGGTGGCGATGCTTGTCGTCGTTGGTGTACTCAGCGTAAGCAGGAAAGCGATTCACAACCGGCACCCTATCAGCGATGCGCTCCAAGGCGTGCGTTCGTCGGCTCCACTGGTTCGGCGCGACCTCCTCATCGAAGACTGCCAGATCGTTCGGGCTAATTTTTTCCGCCTTTATTGGAGGGAAGTAGTTGTCGCCAGAGAGATGCATACACGTACGGAACAACGCCAACGTCAACTACTGTTCGTGCTATTTCCTTTCAAACAAAGGTTTGCCACCAGAAAAAGCACGTCACCACTCCGAGGTTTAGTGTTTGCTACGATGAGCGCAGAATGTAATGCATCGTTCGAAGTCAGTGTATGTATGTTTTTTCCCGTTTAGATCTACTTGCGTCAGCAGCAACAGCAAGATTGAGACAAGCGTGCCCTCTCCCAGGTTGGCAATTCCCAAGTACCAGCAGATTCCTCGAAATCTATAGAAAAACGGTTGGAAACCGGGTTCAACTCGAACGAAGGAGGAGGAACGCCGAAGAACTACACTAGAAAACATTACGGGCGAAACGGGAGCCGTATCATTGAAAAATCTTAAAGCTCTGTTGGCGTTATGTTTGTTTTGCTGATATGAACTTCGCGCATAGACGTTCTCCAACGCAATTCAATTGTGACGAGTCAAGTCCTGGCCGGGCCCCGTCGGCTGCACGAAAATTGAGCCGAGAAATCCCAAACGATTCTTGGGCTGAAAATTCCCAATGTACCTACCTCCTTTCAGCAAGTACAAGACAGCAACAAGTGCCGGCCGGCGGGCGGGCCCACATTGCGGACTGTACTGACCCGGAGCTCGTGTTTTGAAGGGAAATCGCCTATGCTGCACCTGAAAGAGCTTCTCCAGGGTCTCGTTGGCCTCGTCCTTCCCGTAAAGCCTCAGCTCCTCCGCGATCTCGTCCTCCGTCCAGAAAGTCTCGCCAGGGTCCACCTGTTGAGGGTTTCCAAGAGCGGATGGGGCCGACAGAAACACGGCAGGCCGGGAAGGAGACGTTGGGTCTGAGTCAACTCAGCAGCCGTAGGGACGTCAATATCTGCGAGCGGCACTGGACACCATCTTGAACAAAGAATTGAGGCAATGGAGGAAAGCATCCGTTTGCCCGTGCAGGCTTCAGCAGCAATATAGTTTTGGTTCACTGACGCACAGAAAAACCTTCGCGAGATGCGCTCAGCTAACCATCGCGAAGCGACAGGGGCACCGAACCGAGTCGTTCCGCGCAAACCATCCAAAGGCCCGCTCCGCCAACCTTCCCGCAAGGGACGTGTAAGTGCCTCCAGACTCACCTCCCCCCTGAATTGTAGTCGGTAGCTCTCCCTCGCTGCTTGTCTCTCTAAGAGAACGATCGGAGCGCGTATCCGGCAGAGAACCTGTGCACGGAAACACACAATGGAGGCTTGGTGGGTGTCGACTGAGGCCTGTTTTTCCTTTCAACCTCAATTTGATCACGGCCTTGCGGACTTCCACTTGAACGCCAGCCCCGACGTCAAAGGTCAACCCGTGAAGCTTTCTGAATGCCTCGATGCACAGCACTTTTATAGACCACGAAGAGGGCGGGCGAATAATCCGGGCTTGTGAGACCAAAACGCGCTACCCGAGATTGTGGGTGTGGTGGCGTGACAGCGAGGCGTTCGGACGGTGCCGCGGCCAGAAATAGTCGTGGCAACTGCGACTGGGTAGAGGACCACACTATGTACTCCTGCGGAGAGTGGAATTGTTGACTGACCTTATCTCCATGCCTCGAAAGGGTGAGCTTCAGCTGCAGTCCAGATTTCTCAAAGAGCGTGTTGACGATGACTTCCCGTGCCAGTCTGACCCACTCCGACTGAGATATGGACACCTAAGAGTAACAAGTGGAGGGGGGAAAAGTCGTTCAGTTCTCTGGTTGGCTCTTTACTCTTTGCCGTACGTTGTTGGCTGCGCACCTTCTCTACGTAGAGTTGCCTCGATTTGCTGACGAGAGCGCCTCAACGTCAAGAAATTTCCAGAACAAAGTTCATTCCTGAGGTCTCTTGTCTTCCTAGTGGCGTACTTAGCATAGGTGCCAAAAAACGTAGAAGGCGAGACGATCCCCCCCTCAAACGTTAGTACAGACGACAATAATTCCAACACCTGTAGGAACCACACACTGACCATTTATGTGCGCTCAGTTCACTGGTGTACCACGGGAACGATCGTCTAAAGCCGAACCAAGCATGGATAAAATGACTTATCAGACCCGAAGACCTAACTGACACGATCTCCCACCTCCTCGGAGTCGGCGCTTGGCGTCCGGAACCTTGCCTCCCACTCCCTGGCGAGGCTTTCCTTCGCCGCGGTCTTGGTCACCTCGTCCCCGGGCACGGCGGAGTACCAGATGTCGTTTACCTACTTGTCGGTGTCGGCCGCGTTTAGTTCGTTTCCATCTCATTGTCCCATGGGTTGGTCAATGTATTTTTTTGCGTTCGGCAGCTGCCGCGTGTTTCTGCTAGTCACATCGCTCTCCCTTGTATGCCGTACAATCATGCCCTAGAGGTAAAAACGGCGTCTAGTAGGGATTTAAGTTGTTTGTACTTCCGAAGTGGTTTTGGTTGCTGTTTCGCTTGTAGAATAGTTGTTGCTGTTGAAGCACACTACGCCCAGGACGGTGTAGAGCAAGGTGCTAAACGACGTATCATCGCCTCAAGGGGATCGGCCTCTATCTGTGTTCATCCTTTGGAACGACTTCAGCAAGATCTATTGCCCCGCACCCCGGAATGGATTTTGAAACGAACTTCTTCCCAACGTTGGAAGCTTCAGAAGGAAACTATTGGGAAGTGCAATATTGCATGTGTTGGTGCTCATATGCCGGATTTCCATCGCCAAGGTCGGCACCGAGGAAGACTTGTCGTGCGAAATAGGATATGACAAGCCGTCACGCCCCCGCAATGTGGTACAAGCGGAGCTTTTGCAGCCTTTCCATTTGGTAACGTTGTCTGCACGCACCTCCGTCAAGGTGATGCGTTGGGCGGCTTCGAACCCGCCGGTGTCGCTATCGGAGTCGTCGCTCCCTTCTCCGTCGCCGACCGCCGACAACTTTCCGTATCCGGCCCCGGTTGATGCATCGTACGACCATTTGTCATCAAGAAGTGCAGAATAGACGTCATCGGTCACATGACAGTATTCGTGATGGAGCAGAATGGATGCAGCTAGTCAAGCAGAAGCCCGAGACCCTGCCCCGCGTTGGTCAAGACCGAGTGCCTCCAAATATACATGCAACCTGCTATAGTGCATGACTTCGGACTGTTTCCTCTCACTCACCATTCTCTGACAAACTTAGATCCCCACAGCTACCGTCGATTGCAAGCAAGGACCAGAGCACCAAACACACTTGTAAACGCAACATGAAGAGCATTGGAGAAGGGCGGGATGTCTTCGTGGCAGGAGCTTTTGTCGCTGTGGAGAAAGAAGCAGATGCCCGTGAACATGATAGTGCCATCATGACCACCATCTCGCCATGATGTCGGATAGCGCATTCTCACCACGAATTTCTAGCGTAATTTTTTTTCTGTGTGAGTGTCTCCGCGATTTACGAGGTCCCCCCTCCTCCGAGACCGCCTTCGTTGAGCACGTGGTACATTACAAGTTAGGTTTACATTGCAAGTGAGGACGTAGAGTCGATTTCAATTTGCACCTTTCAGCGCGCATTTACTTGTGTACTAAGAGCGCGTCGTCCGGTTCGTCTCAAGCCTTTGAACAACAAGAACATTAGCTTGTCAACGCCCCACAACAGTTTTCTCACGCCGAATTCGTTGGTGTCAAGCCACCTACCAGCGGGAAAACTCTCGCTGTCGTCTCACCTCGCTGCGTCTCCCACGACCCCCCGCCCGAGCCGCCTGTTCCCGCGGGTGTGGGAAGGCGATGAGGTAGTCATAGCGGTCGATAGTTTGGTCAATGTCGGCCACTCCATCGTTGCCCCCGTCCCGTTCACCCCCGCCACCACCCCCGCCACCACTGTGGGCTCCCCTGCCCCTTCCACCTGTACCATTGGTTGATGTTGGTCTCGTGTTTACCGGCATTGAAATACCTACTACATTTAACTCCATCCATATTACAGACCACAAAATCGGCTGTGGCGGAAGTGTAATCCGTTGTCGTGGAATGTGGCAATACAGGTGATCAAATTCGATAGTCTAGAGGGATCGACCAGCTGTATTATATTATTGGTTTTCTTCCGCGCATTCCCAACCCACCACCGCCGCCGGGGATACCGCCGCCCTGGGTAATGCCGTCGTCCAGGTCGTAGTTGCGGAGAAATCGACGCTCCGATCTCTCCGCCGGACCTAGCAAGGGTGTCCCTTGACCGTGCCGGGCTTTGCCAGGACTCTCCTGCGTGTAAGGCAACGTTGACGTCCAACACCATAGCAGCAGTACGTGTGACCGAGAAGGTGGTAAATAGTAAACAACACTACTGTACACACCAGCCCCGGTGGGCAACACACGACGGTTCCCTACATATGACTAGCCTACGAAAAAATCTTTCCCCCTTGGTCCTATGTGAATACCCAGGCCTAATAATGAGGTAGTTCGTGTAAAGACTTGGTGGGTGGGCGGGAGAAAAGCCACGACATGATTGCTAGCTATCGTCCAAATTTCGATGAAGCTAGCAGCTGCCCTTCTGCCGCGTGACCCCTTCCAAAGCGGGCTGCATGGTACATATTGTGTCTTTCTCACAACGTGGCCCTTGGATCCAGTGGACAAGCGTCTATCAAACTCTTGCCGCAGGTGCAGCGAGGCAGCAGAATGAGAACTCCGTGAGACCTTTCTCTTTTTGGGACCCCAGAAAACCGAACCAAGACATCCGACCCCAACGCGCCTCCAGGGCGGCACAACAAGTACCCAAATACACACGTAGATCCGGGCGATGTTCCGAATTCTTCCGTGCACAATAAACTACAGTTTTTTCGGTCTTCGACAACAAAGTTTCATTTTATTGTTTTTCTTTCGAACTTTGATAAATATTTTCTGTGGCCTACGGAGGGAGACTTCCCCCGTACCACACGTCCCGCACGGCACAAAGCCTCCGCGGTATCCTAACGTGTCTCTGCTACTAAACACAAACCTCCCTCCGAATACCACCAGACGGGACGAAACTGTTGTACAGTAGCAGTCTCGAACGATTGAGCCTCCCAATGGTACGCTACCATTCAGAAAACACCCAATTGTGTTGGGAAGGGTGCAAGATATTCCATGTGTCTGCTGTACTCAAGCATCATCCGATTGCCACGGACATACAAAGGACAAAAAAACACATTCAAACACAAACACAGTTGAGACATCGCTGTATTCTGCTCGAGGCAATTGTAGAAACACGGGTACAGCAGTAGTGTCCGCTAACACGATGAATTCACTGCTAATCTCCCCTCTCATCTATGGCTGTGGAAGAGGTGGAATTTGTTACCACACACCTATTTTTTCTTGCACCTATTTTTTCTTGTACTACAAGTAGTACAAGTAGGAAAAAAAGAACGGCGGCCCACAAGATATACGAAAGGCTGGATACCGCGGAAGACTACCGGGGGACAAAAAACACTAAATAGCTGTAGCACAGACTAGCCTTCGCCTCATCCAGCGAGTTGCTCAGCTGTTTGTTGGGGTCGCCCAATACAGCATTGATCGAGCTTTGGCCTTCGGCGACCCACGCTGGGAATAGGAGTACAGCGGGTTGTACCATCGTGGGCAAGATAAACCTGTTTGTAATAGCAAACTACCCTTCTGTGTGGTCGTCAGCGCGGGTGCAGCAGCAGTCAACGCAGAAACTCTATCTCACTACTACCTGCTCCTTCTATCACTCACGGCTCAATGGGATAGGGTGCTTGGCTGTCCTACTTCTTCGTCGAGCGCTCTGCGGCGGCAAAGATCTCCTACAATTCGGGGCAGCTTTTTCATCCGAAAGATACCTCACCTCCTGCGGTAGCAGCAACGGGGATTCCTTTCTCCGTTTCCGAGACGGAACGCCGCCACCGGCGGGCTTCGAGTCTCCATTGCCCATGATAAGTTAGTGCGGAGTGCTATCCGATCTCTTCGTCATGAAGATCGCGATGCTGTGAGCACAACAGTGAGGAGTGTGTCTTGTACTATATGGTCTGCCTCCGTCTCATCTCCAGGGCGGAAACCTTGGGCGGCAGGGGACAAGGTTCTGCAGCGATTCCGCGGAGCCCCAAAAGTTGAAAAGTTGCGTGTGCGTGCGACGCATAGCGCAGTCCGATTGACCATGGCGGGGCGGCGGGCATCATGGAATGCTACAGCGGTAGTGTTCATTGGCGTGGGAAGCGCCCTGCTACTTGCAGCGCGGCGGCGGTGCAAGAACATACCCTGTGATTTGAGCTCATCTTGTTGGTGAGGAGCGGACTGATCCCACCTGGTGTGTGCGCATCATGTTCATGAATGTATCCACGCGAAGACAACGAGTTTCTGGCCACCTACGGTAGCTGCTGTGTGTGTGCGCTGTTGCTTTGCAGCAGTACGTTTTGCAGGAGATGTTTGGGTGTAAGCTGGAAGATCTGTTCGTGTGCTGCTGTGCTTGCTTTTCTCGCTTCGATGGGTATCCAAAGTTTGGTCACGCCGCGGGTCATGTACCGCTGTACACGCTGTATGTATGCATACAGGCACACCCAGCAGTATTCTACATTACTACCGGCTGCCATGTACGTATTGCCCACGGCGTCATTAAAAATTGACTCGCCGGGCCGATCGGGGGAAGTCAGAGGCTGACTGGCTGGCGGGGTCACCCAGCAGGAGTGCGTGCGAGATTGGCTTGACTTTCCCAGAGATAACGATGGATCGCACTGGGTTGGGTGTCATGTGCTATGGTGCCGTAATCGACACAAGATAACACACCCCCTGGACCGTTTTTCAAAGCTCGATTTATCAACAGCAGAAAGCGGCACAGCGCCGAAAACGTTAGCATCGACGCCGTCTCGTCGAGAGCTCTCCGAAAAGGTATCGTTTCGCTTCTGCATCCTCCTCGTCGTGGCGTAACCGAGCTTTGAAAATCCGTCCAGGGGGGGGTGTTATCTTGTGTCGTACACGGTATGCACATCAGCCACATGTACGTGAGATAACAACCCCGTTGACACTTGCCCGGCCAACGTGCTTGTTGGCCTGTGGTCTGGTCGCTAAAAGTATTTGGACTTCCGCCCACCTCTGTTCGTTGCTTGCACCGTGCGCTGTCCACTCATCAAAACGGCATTCGCTTTTGAACTGTTGAATGGTACCCCTCATGTCCGCTCTTTACGCCGCAGGGCGTCCAGGATGTTGGTTGCAACAGCTCTCGCGCAGGAGGCAGGCCAGGCAATGCTGGACGCGAAGGCTCTTTGCGCACAAGAGGGGAAGGGGAAGGATGGGGGCGGCGTCAGCTACAAGGGGCGCCACGACCTGTGAGTGGAGAAGGAGATACGGTATTCGTTGCAGCAAGGTAGATGGGTCTTGCCTTCGAATCTACCTTCAGCTTTTTGCGGAAGGGGGGATCTATGTATGCATGCTCTCTCAGGATACCAAACATAGAGAGATGTTGCCACGAGTTTCATTATACCCGAGCAAAGAAGAGAACCTGCCTGCCTGAGAGCATTCCTTGCTCGATTCGTGCACTCGAAATACGACGCTCACACGCGACGTTGCGTGCACCTCGCTCTCGGTGGTGGTCAAAATGGTGCTGGCCTCTCCCACGGGAGGAACTCGCGATACTGGCAACGTCGGGGCTGGTTGGAGAAACGGGGGGCAGCTCACGGTGTTTTTAGGTCGGGGCTGGTTGACTATAGCGTGGGGGGGCATTTGCCCGGTGATTGGTTGATTTATTCGGCTTTCGACAGCCAGACATCAACTGCTTGCTTCGTACCTTACCCTGGTGTCCCTCGGCGGCCATCTGTGTTGTTCAGGGTAACCGAGACTGACCGCTCGAACGAGGCCTTGATTCAGCGAGGTTTGCACGAGACTTTCCCGGAGGACCACTTCCTGGGCGAGGTATGCCGCTGTTGATTCTCTCGTGGGTTGCTTTCGGAATTGTTTTTTCACTTTTTTTTGTGTCGACGCGGACAGTTCGATGTCGTAGTGTGCAACAAGTGCTTTCTTATGCTTGTTAAGTTGGGAATATGGGGCGGTCGTTCCCGATGGATGCGAATCGCCCTTGTCAGGTGTGTTTCAACCTCGCATATACCTTTTGCTTGAGCGATAGCTGGCGGGGTGTTCTCGCAACGTTCTTCTTTAGAAATGCCTTCTGCTGTGCTACAAATGACCGCACCAGGAAGCGTCCGCGGACCGAGGAGGCGCGCCGTCAGAACTTTCCAATAACGTTCTGACGTGGGTCGTTGACCCAATCGACGGCACCACCAACTTCGTGCACGGCTTCCCGGTGACGTGTGTTTCTATCGGATTGGCGAAAGGAGACGAGGTAAGTCGTCTTGACGAGAGGCATGCGGGTGGAAATTGTGCGACATTACGCTTGGTTCCGCTCCAGCGTGGCACGTGTGTGCACGGGGGTTTCGGTTGCTTCTAGTTGGTCGGGCGATCTCTACAGCTCGCGCCAGTTTGGATTCGGACTGTATGTCTGAGAAGCGTGTGCTATACTCGACAAAAATCAACATTTTTTTTTTTGTTGAATAGGTGCAAGTTGACAGGACTCAGAATACAGGAATCAAGATCGTTCACTACCAACTCCCCGAGCGTACCCCTAGTAACGCGTTATGATCCCCGGGACGTATTTTCCGATCCGCATAGAATGGAGGGCCGTTCGACCGGAAAAAAGCTCAATTTTGCTCTACCCTTGGATGGATGTGACCCAGTGCCTTTAATCCTTCGTGCCCCCGCTGTTCTACTGGTCTTGCCGTCCGCAGGTAGTTGTCGGGGTTGTATTCAACCCTTTTACGCAGGAGCTGTATCAGGCCATCAAAGGCGGCGGGTCCTTTCTGAACGGAAAGCGCCTGCAGGTGTCTGAAACCACTGTGATGGAACAGGCGATGGTGGTGAGTAAGATATGACCTTACGTCCGAGGGGGACAAGTGGGGGTAAACAGGGCCAGGTTCTGGGGTGGACGAGAGTCGGGAGTCCTCTTCGGCAATGATCTTGGGTTATTTGGTTTGAAGGGGATCTCGCGAAGGTTGTGGCACTTCGTGCTTCAATACTCCGGGGTTTGTCTAACTTTCCCACCAAGGAGACCCAGCTGTGGTGGCTGTGCGGTTCTGTACAGCATTATTGTTGCTGCTAACCCCCCTTGCTGATGCTGTCGATTCTGCTGCTACTTCTGTAGGGCATTGTACTCTGTTGTGTAGAATGTGGCGCTGCTGGCACTCAATAACTATCTGCCTGCGACGTGTTTTCTCTGGATAAGAACTGCTGTGCTCCGAGCCCACAAGGGCTGGCGGTGCGAACGGTCGTACAGCGTAGCACCGTGCAAATAACCACGCACCCTCCGAACCGAAACCTCCGCATCACCCCCCCCACCAGATGGCGGAGTACAGCAGCCTGAGAGAAGAAGTAAGCCTCCGCAAGATGCTGGACACGACGGGAGCTATCGCAGGCGCCGCTCGTGCCGTCCGCCAGACCGGGTGCGGGGCCATGGACCTGTGCTTCTTGGCCAGGGGCTCCGTGGATGCTGTGTTCGGCGGTAAGATTTGGTGTTTTGGTGGAGGCTTGCTTGTTGTTTTGTTGCGATACACCGTATTGGACATCTCACCACAAAATATCCAAAATAGGAGTACCACTTAACCAGAAGCAAATGGTCGTGTGTAGGGAAAGCGGACGGTCCGTGAAATGGTTGGATGCGTAGGCAACGACGGAAGTTGCCTGTGTGCGGTATGGCTCCCGTGTCCGCACTTACCGACGTGCACACGACAAAGAATCGGGTAGTAGCTGTCAACAGGCATTTCGAACCGCGCACATTCGTCACCCGCCGGTTTCAATGTGAGGAGACACCGTCGTGGTGCAGTTTTTCGTACAAATCCGCTGATCGACTTCGGGGAAAATGCATCCTCAGGCGAAGCAATCTTCAGCGAAAAAAGGAAAACACCATTGATCTGTTCAGTCTCTGGCGTGAAGGGCCCTCGCCCTTCTGCATCTTCTGCAGATCGCCATCGTGAGGGCGATTGATTTTTAGGCCCTCATGGGGCCCCTTCCCGAGGGAGCGAAATGTCAAATATCACTTCAAAAAGGTGTTCTCCTTTCTGGGCGCGTAAAGAGCTGGGTTGCCTTCACCTGTGGCCGCCACGGAAGTCATATCTCACACGTTGGATCGACCGAAAGAGGGAGGCACCCTAACGGATAATGTTTCCTACCCTTGGCAACCGAGCGACAAGAACGAAAACGCAGCAAAACAGTAGTGTCAAGCACGTTTTTGAATGGCGGGCCTTGGGAACGAGAAGGAAGCCATCAGCTCCATGCGATTATTTTTTTTTCCGCTCCCAGCGACGCTGGGATTCTGGAAAATGTGACAGATAGTATTGGAGCGGACATATTTTCCAGAGAAATGAACTGAACGCTAGTCGCAAACATCTCAGTTTTTCGGGCTTTGTTATCGTCTCACGGCGACCCCTCTGTGGCCAACCCGATCACTCCGTCTGTTGTTTGACAACTACACTGTTGTTTGACAACAACAGGCGTAGCAGGTGTATGGAAACCCTGGGATTGGGCGGCCGGGGTCCTAATCGCCACGGAGGCGGGTGCCGCAATGTCCGCGGGGGATGGGGGGCATTTTCGGTTGATGGGCGACACTATGCTTGGAGCGGCGACGGCTGAGTTGGCATCTTCTCTTCGCGAGGTTTTGAAAGACATTTGAGTGCGTGCGTGACCCCCAATGTTTCATCAACATGGAACCCGACGACTCGATTAGGGGGGTTGCTGATCTGAAGAGCAAAGGGACAAGGAAGGGTCATCCACGGTTCTGTTTGGTGAAAATTCTCTGTGATGTGGCATGAGGTGATGGGTGACGACTGTGCGAGAGTGGCTGATGGCGTTATTGTGGCGGGGGGGTTGTGACGGTTGTGACGGGGAGCATGTTGTTTTCTATGATGACGCTTGGCGACATTTTATTGTGCCGTATGTTGATGTCGTGAATCAAAGTGCAGACGATTTCTTGATGACACCATGCCACCGAATCTCTCTTCACGGCACGGACACAAAGTACTTCCGATGCCGGGGGACTTGCGTTGCGCTATGGTATGGATGTAGACGTTTTCTTGAGCGTTGTCGAATGCCGAGAACGCGCGATTTACGTGGTCCTGTTTTCCTGCGAGCCATACCGTCTTCCAGCGGGAACGTTGTCGGCACCGGCTATCCATCCGCAGTGAAGACGTCACCGATTGGGTGCCTTAAGCTGCTGTACTTTAGAGGACGTCGTGATGAGAGTCGCACTTGTTGGCCGCACCCCAACAGTTATCCTAGATGCCTCTGCACCGTAAAACGTAAAGTTTTAGAACTCTATGTTGAGCGGTTTCGAGCCGGAGGTGACATACTGCAAGAGTTCGACTTTGTTGCCTCGGCAGCGCTGAAACCACCGTGGGAATACCTGCTATTGACACAACAGAGATGTAGCCTGCGGTTGCTCGTTTGTTTCGTGTACCGTAAGGTGAAGCAACAATCGGTCTCTGTGGGGTTCTGGCGACCTACTCTGGTCGCCTCCAAGAGCAGGAACCTCCCGCCCGTTGACTCAGATTCCGGTTTACACAACACGCCGTCAGATGTCGTTGCTTTTTTTCTTTGCCCCCGCCCTCCATGGGGGGTGCTGGCGCTCGTTTTTGTCGCCGGATGGAATTGACTCACAATCGCTGGTAGTCCACAAGACGCAAGTACAACGACCCCGTAACATTCTGGACCGCCAAGGAATCTCCGCAACAACGTATCTACCAACCGAGTACGGCGCCGTTCGACCAACCTACTGAATGGCTTTCATTTCTGTGGCAAACCGGAGGTGAATATCCAAGCAGAAATGTGCACTGCTGGGCGAAACGTTTCCACCATGGATAGATGCTCGGGACATCGTTGTCGATTGTTTCATGACTCGAACCAACAGGATGCATTATCTCGTCAACCTCAGGGAAGGTGTGCGCCGCTCCGACTTAGTCGGTCAGCACCCGCTTCAATGTGTTCCGAAAACAGCAGAATTGACAGCGTCCCTCCCAGCCTCGTTCAATTGCAGTCCACCGAGTTGCATGTAAAGACCCCCCCCGCCCTCTCCCCCCACGGCTTTCCGTCCGTCGGCTGGCCTCGCGAGGTGTCCCGTGACCGCCTTGTTAGATGCTTGTACACGATCGACATGGTTCTCTCCCCCCTTGCCCTCAATTTCTCTTCAAAGTGCTACCCTCCTCGAAAGCGACTTCATATTGATGCCGGCCTAGACTGTGCTCAGTAGATGTCAACATGCCCGGACTATATTTGGTTCCAACAATGCTTTGCACTGGAGTCATTCTCATCTCGTAGTATTGCTTTGAACCAGGAGTGAGTGGGCCAAATTTCTACAAAACTACTCCGTCGGCCGCAATAATGCTAGCATGACGGACGAGCTTACTGTAGTCACTGAGTCAAACACTCGATAATCGATGCCTGGGTAGAACTTCCAGATATCACCCATACTCGTCAGTCAGCGCGACATGGTAGTTTGGGGCCATCTGGGCGTGAACGGCGGGATGAACGGCGGGATGAATATGCCTTTCCATAGTGCCATAATCTGGTTGAGGAACATTATCTCGAGTCCGACGAGGGACACTTGCTCCTTGAACGGCACAAACAATGTTGTCGGCATTCGCAACAATGCAGCAGATATTTCCGCGTCGCGGATCCTCTCCTGTTTGTGACGGCACCGTCGACTGTCCTCGTAGTAATCGTCCATCCTTAATCGTCCTCCATCTTCATCGCGACCAATGCAGGGCGGGGTTCGGCGGGGTAAACCAGAGCAGGGTGGTGCATCAACGTAGAGCCGGAAGGAATGTTCGAAATGATAACAGGTATCTCGGGGGCTGCCGCCCAGGGATGGTCGATAGACCTTGAAAGGCCACCATCAACATGTTCAGGTTCCACGCCACTTGGCCGCGCATCATTTCATCGGCCTAGGAACCTACAGTTCCGTGCTTCTGCTCTCCGCCGGACCGAGGACTCTCTTGCCGTGTTAGCGACTATGCTTCCACCTGTCATTTTGAACTCTAGTCAAACCTCCATACTGCAACTACCCAGTGAGTTATCGTTTCCAGTAACAAGGGCGAACACCCGTACCGTCATGGGGTAAACATGAAATACGACCCAAGAAACTATTCGTCGAGAAAATCACGAAAAGAAAAGAAACGTGTGCTACAGTGTACGCCTTGCAAAGTTTCGGTCTACCAAACGGAATGCGCTATAGTGTCAAAACAGTGGTTATCGAAATCTATCTGCAGCGTGCTGCCTCGTTCACGAGAAGGTGAGCCTCACCCCGTCCATGAAGTCCGCGAACGGGTTATAGCCGTCGTCGTCCCCTGCATCGTCCCCGTCTGCCCCTCCGTTTCCGGCGTCATCGAATGGATTGAATGCGGCCTTTTTCTTGCTGCTGGCCTTCTTTGAACTTGTCAACGCCGCTGTCTGCTCCTCGTCGTCATCCTATATTTTGTCGAGCGAGCATCAATAGATCAGCCGACCGGATACTGCATCCTACAGGTGGCTGCTGGTACACCGAACCAGCCCATCGTAGACAAAATTCGGTGAGGTCGTGATGAGTAGTCATTGATACGGGAGAAACAGGCAACCAACCGTCAGGGACTGTACAACGCACCTGTATCGAAACAGCTTAGACTGCAGTATTTCGAACGGCCGTCGTACCGAACCCTCTTCTTCTGTTCGTTTACGCCCTATGCCCTCAGACGCTGCTGGCTGAGGAATGTTTGCGTCGTACGATGTAGGTTGTCGCCGGCACTGTCCACAAAAATAAACCATTCAAACACGCGAATACCCCAAATCATGCAAAGCCAATCTTCACAGCGAACATACGTTCATTACGTAAACGTGTCACCAAACAGATACTTCATCATACCGAGTCCTCGTCTTCTTCCTCCTCGTCGCTGTCATCGTTGTCTCCGGACGCATCGCTGTCGTCGCTCTCGGCCTCTAAATCCTCCTTGTACAAGCGTTCTTCCTCCTGCAGGGCACGATTGTGTACGTTAGATCAAGAGATGACCACAACCACAACAACGACAGCAACAAGAGCAAAAAAGACGAGGACAAAATCGACCACAACGACGATGATAACAGCGATATCGACAACGGCAACGACAACGACCGCGACGACGACGGCAACAACAACGACAGCAGCAACAACGACAGCAACAACTTCAGCAACAACAACGGCAAGGTGTTAGCGCTGCATATTTGTACCTTCCCAGATTCTCTTCAAGACAAGAACGTGCACAAGCTAAGTACGCACATTGCTCCCAAGCAAGCACCGTTCCCGCCACGACTCCCGGTTCAGTTCCCCGTATATTTTATCTCCCTCTTACGAATAGCGCTATTATTCGCCCAATTCGAAAAATTGGATTCACTGAACCAGCTTGCTGCATTTTGTCGTAGTGCTGGCTCGCCTGTAATGCCGCCATGACCTCCGCGTAGGCCGGGACGAGATCGATGCGGTATGTAAAGATGGAGTTGTCGCGGATGACCTCCCACGAAAATTTGGCGTCTCCCCTCCCCGGAGGAGCTTCCTCCTCGTCCATGTCCCACCCCTGGTGTAGGTTCGTGAAGTTTGCACACGACGAACAATGAATGAACTTGGAACATGTCATGCGCGGAGGTTGAAAGCGTGTTGGTGCAGCTACTGGAGGTTGTACATGAAAAAATGCAGAAGTTGCCGGTGCAGCTGTCGATGAGTCTTCTTCCTTGTCCATTTCCCATCAATTAACTGCCAGCAGCGGATACAAACTTCCGGACTGGTGCGTGTTCAAGTGGAAACTAAAGCATCTAGACGACTGAAATATTATCGGCACGATGCTGCTTTTGGTGCTGTCGACATGTTTGTATCCAAAGACCTGGCGTTCTATCTCAGCCTGAGCTGAAGCTGTCCCGCCATCCTTTCAGAAAACAATGTTTTCCGGCACGTCGGTAAGAACAGCCCGAGAACGCGGGCGATCGCCACAACTCTGGAACATTCTACCGCATGGGGCAGGCAATAGCATCGATTGTGCTTTGAGGGGGGTGGATATTACTCATTATGTTGCAACCATTGGTCTCGTGTATTTCGAAGTAGTCGGAAAAGCGTGGCAGTTCCACGGCAGTTTCATGATATACCGTGTACCCGACGTAGTATCACACAGAGGCATCGACCTCCGTGTGGTCTACTACAGCCAGCCATGATACACTTCCGGGATTTCCGTGGCTCTGCGATAGTGTGTGCTATCGCAAGCCATGACAGTCACCACATTACGGAAGTGATGCACATCACCAGTAAACACGAAAAATCAGCTAGCAGTAGATGGTGGTGAAACAGGCATTCGATATCACAATAGAGTAGGCACGCGAGAAGTTGTACACCCAAGTCCTAGGTGTGATATCGTTGGTTAACTTGCCTTCTTTTTGACGACAGACTTATCCGCGAGGTGACTGACCATCCAGCCCTCCAGCTTCTCTGCCGTCGTGAGGTCCCCGTTCTTGGGGATGTACTGGTAGTAGACGTCCGTGTATGCAGCGACCTCCGATGTCCACCTGATAGGCAACAAGGCGTTCAGTTAGGGCGATCGGTCATCAATCGGCACCACCTAGACGTACACTGAGACAAACGACGCCACACCGCACTGTACCGCTTTGCACCTGCTGCGAATCTTCTTCCCTGGCCGCATGACCTCCAGGGTCCTCTTCTTTCCCGTGCATGACCCGAGGACGAACCGGAAGCCCTTCCCGAGGATAACAAAGAGCGGGAAGTACCCGTTGAGAAACTCCAGGACGCACCACACCAGCACTCCCAGCGTAAGAAGGAACAAGGGGAACACGTTTGTGCGGATGATGCGCGACACCTGAAGGAATAGGTTTGATTGGGTGAAGGTTGGATGAAAGAGATAGTGTTAGACACATCCTGATTGTTCCCGTGGCTGCTCGCCCGCTGTGCGCTTCGAGTTTATTGGCCCGAAAAGAGATTGGGAAGGAGAGATTCGAAGTCTGCGCAGGATACTGAACGACTCGTATGCTGGTGTGCATAGCGGTTCGTAGCTGGTATGCTGAATGCGGGGAGAGAGTTGCGAAAACAGCGCTGGTAAATTTGATGGGTATTTTCGTCGAGCTCTGGTCTACGGGGCGAGAATCATGTGAGCTTCCATCTTGAGTTTTCGGTGGCAATAATCAACTCGAAATATTCCGTGAGAAAATCCGTTCCGAGCTACATGAGGAAATCCGTTCGACCTCAACACGTGTGCGGGTTCATGGCCGACCCCACAGATTTCATAAAGAAAATGCCTCTTGATCACTTCGCAGCTGACTTGCCAAAACGTCTTATCATCTCCTACAAATGTAGTATACGTTGCTAATCATCTGTCGATACTCACGAGAATCCCATACCCCTCCTCGTATGATGCGATCACGTCCTCGTACGGCTTGACTTGCGAGATCGACTCCGTGATAACCTCGCTCTTCAGCGACTCCGTCCCCAAAAACCAGCACGTAAAGCACAGGTGTAGCAAGAGCGCCCACGGGAGGGTGTTGTTAACCTTCGCGAGAGACATTACACGAACGTACCAAGGTGGGGTTGGACACCGGGCGAGCGCGGAGGCGAGCAACAACAGGAGTTAACTAGGGCATTTTTACAATCACGCACATGCAGGCACGAAAACAGGAATACAATCAGATCAGATATGCATTCTTTGTACTGTTGTATTCTCTTCTCCGTTTTTGGATCACTTGTTGAAAGTATTGGATTTGTTTGGATGAGGTTTGCTGTCCCGGCAGGAGGGCCGCACCCCTCTGATATGGTGCCGCGCTGATCGATTCGTTTCACTCAGCACGGCATCACACCCAGAAAAGGATTCAGCGGTGGAGAGATACCACGGTGGAGAGTACAATAGTTGGGCGGGTGGGATGGTCTCTGTTTTTGGTATCTCTCTCCCCCTTTACGACGTTTTTGAGGGGGAAAGAGGGAATGATCCATAGGTTTGTTCATTTCTCAGTAGTTTGGGGGGCCTACAGCTGGGGTGGATCCGTGCCGGATCCGTTCCCCTTCTGAGGTCTCCCCGATATTACTGCAGTTGTATCCTCTTCTCCGTTGTTGGATCACTTACAGAAAGTATTTGTTTGGATGAGGCCTCCTGTCCCGCCACAAGAACATACCCAAACTTCGTTTCCGCATCCTCCGTAATCGCATATCGACCAGAAGTCATAACTCGATCCTGGACATGCCGAAGCCGAACCCAAACTTTCTAAACGGTGCGTTTACCACTACCACCCGCGCGAAGCGCGTCCTCCCGTGAAACCCTCACTCGATGGCATGCGATCTGCCTGGTCGCATACACCACAGAATACGCCACCTCTCGAACTTAGCATAACTCGCAACATCGGGTTAGACACGATTATTCGTTAGTACTTCTGATACGAAAAGCCACGTGCCCATGCCGTACAACGAGCCATCGAGGTTGGTGGTATTGTGTTTGACGTGGCACATACGTACTACTTCAGTGGGGGTCTCTGTTTTAGGTATCTCCCTCCCCCTTTACGACGCTTTTGGGGGGGGGAAAGGGAATGATCAATATGTTCGTTCATTTTTCAGTAGTTTTGGGGGGCCTGCAGCTGGGGTGGATCCGCGCCGGATCCATTCCCCTTCTGAGGTCTCCCCGATATTACGTAAGATTTCGCTTACCTGCTGTTGCAGCGCATCTTCGCGGTGCGGGGGCCGCCTGTAGTATCTCAGGAGCATGGCCTTGTCGACCCAGTAGGTGATGAAAAAGAACGCGAAGGACAGGGCGTTCATAGCAAACATCCCTCCGGAGTATGCCATCGCAGTGAACAGCAGCGTCAGAAGGTACGAGTAACGCGTCTGTAGAACGAAAAAAGAATACAAGAAGGCGGGAAATACACGACACGTGAGAGCGGGTAGTTTTGGGGGCGCCGTATTGATGCACACGGGCTTTTTGCACATTGCTTATTTTCAGTAGGAGCAGCTCCCTGGACCCCGGAGTAGGCCACTAAGAGCAACACACCGGCAAGCGAGGAACGAAACGCCACCGCACACAGTAGCGGGCACGGCAGGCGAAGCCAAGCGCAGATATCCGGCGGGGGCATAGAGCTCACGACGAACATTTTGAAGCCTCTTCGTCTTATCGGCTCAGTAGATGATCCGTGTTCTATGTAGGGGTACATCGCTATCAAGGAATGAACACACACCCTCAAGACGTAGCTGCCAACAGGTGAATCTAGATAATCCACCTGCAGCAACGGCAGTTGCGGTAACGCTTTCCCAATACTAGCAGGCGCCGAACGTCAGCCGCCGCCTGTTACGTGGCAACAACGGGAACAGCATCAGCGTGTTTCCTCACCGTGAAGTCGAAGACCGGCCCCACGAAAACTTCGTTGAGGTCTCCCTGCATGACGTACTCCCCCTTGTCTTCCTGCACCGCCTTCGTGGCCTTGCGAATGCGTCGCTTGCTGTGACGCAGGGTAGGGGAGGACGGGGTGTCAATGAATTCCTTACTCCGATACCAGCGGAGTAGGTGTTGGGGGAAGAGTAGTATATGATGAGCGTCCGCACGCTGGTGCTCCGTTCAAACGGTAGGGAGGACATCTTCATGGATGGTGCAGTACATCCTACGTTCGGACCACAGAAGAGCAGTGTCTTATCGAAGATACTGTCTTCTTGCCATTCCCGTAGAAATGAAGAACGAAACACGTGGTGTTTATCGTCTTTTTTGCTGTCACTTATTGCTGCCTATTTGTGTTGCCGAATTCAACCGCAGTTACTAAGCGAACGGTTTAGGTGAGTTCCTTGGCCCCGTGGTTCGTGTCAAAAAACTTCATGAAATCAACCTAAACGATGTGACAGAAAATTATACGTGAGCTGACGGAGTAGAGGCAAAACTTGAACAATACAACAACGTTGGGGTTTGAGGCACTCTGTTGATACGGGTTTGACTGAATTATCGAGTTTCTGGACAGAGTTTCTCTCAAATAAGAATCCCGAAGGTTAACTTCATTGTCTCAAGGTTGATTTCATGGTCTGGTCGACAGCGTCGGTACGATGGAGTTATGTCCTCGGATCTATCGAAGGAGGGCAGGGGTATGAGAGGAAAGGATTGGCGTTGTTGCTCGAATCGCAACCGACCAAACTCTGATGCGAACAATCCCGCCAGGGGCATCGAGATAAAACAAGTAGAGAAGGGGCAAACATCTCTGGGGATTATCCTATTACGCTCAAAAAGCCATTTTTCGTTCCTCGCCGGAACCGTTCCGCGAAAGGTCACCATACCTGAGAAAGAAGCACTCTATCAGCGGACCAACGTGTGGCCCGATAGCCGCCAGGATGTAGGAGATCAGCAAGCCGTGCCCAGCATCTTTCTGCGAGAAACAAAAAGCCAAAGGTTGATCAATATGTGCCTCGTGTACACGGAGCAAGCATGATAATCGTTGTCTTGGACGGGTGACTTGGCGCGTTTGAACTGTTTCTGCTGGCGAGGTGAAGCAATCCTCATATCCATGCAAACGACCATTAGGCGTGTGCGAACGACGGTATTCCCGCACGTTGTTCCGGCCTATAGCCAACCGTCAACAATGGTAATACAGTAACTCCTTTGGGGAGTTATCCTCTATCATGACGGCCAGCATGCACATAATTCTTCCGCACTTGTGCAAAAATTGGACATCGAAGCCTATCTTCCCCACCCGCTGACCTAAGTCCACAGTACCAACAGATCGAACGCTTTCCTTGACGGTCGACGTCGTTGAACAACGGTTACCGCGAAAGTACCCTTAGCAACAATGCCAGGAAAAATCTACAACAGAAAAACCCTTGGAAGCATGTTCGAACAGCGAGAAGTCCGTGGTCGCCAGGATAAAGCACGTCCCTCGTTACGCCCTTCAAGGCCCGTGGACTCTCTTGAGCAGTTCGAAACCAACCTGCCAATCTCTGCTGAAGTCCGTGTAGGGCCCAGAAAAAATGCTCAGATCCTTCACGATCTGTGGGGTCTCGTACCCGGACGGTCCCGTCCCGTAGACCAGCAAGAAAAGCAGCCCCGTGTTGATGAACTGCCCAGAATTGCACCGGCAGAGCGAGCAGGCGGCTAGGTTTGGCTGATGAATTCACCCGAGGCACGTGACTCTTGACCATGTGGGAAATGTTTTTTCTGCTTGCAACGTTACGCCGGGAGGTGTGGCCGTTCCGTGAAATGGCACGAAGAGCATCGCCGTATTGATATCGGAGGTGACGTAGAATATCAGGCGCCCTCAAGACGTGCATTACCACCTAGGCATCATTAACGCCCGAGGTGCTCCGAAAGCATAAGGTTAGGGTTACGAATTTCAAATGAATAACTCTCCCGGCAGCGTGTCGTTGAATTTCGTATCGCATCAAGTTGACCCCGGCGTATGATCCCCTGTACCCTTATGGTCCACTGACCTGCGTCTTGAAAACCCCATACATGAGGCGAGTGGCGGTCTCGTCGTCGCTGGTGTTGTGTTGCCATCCCACGACGAGAAAAGTCAAGCAATGCTCCAGGCCGCCGTTGATGAATGGCGTCAGTAAGGACACCACGAAATTGAACACCTGCGTTAGTTTGAGCGAATGAAATCGCAGTCCAAACACAACAGCTTTCGTCGGACGCCGGTGATGGGTATCGAATACCAAGCAAGAGAAAGACATTGAGCACCTGTACCGATGGTGGAAGAGCACCTATATGTTGGAAATATATTTCGCTGACTGGAAGAGGCTGTAGTTGACATCGTCGGTTTGGCATGACGCAAGACAATATGTGGTGATAATATTTGAGGCGGCATGAACAGCAGTACCGCATGAACATTGATTGGCCCTCGTTCATGGAAGGGTGGGCAACGCAACTGCTGACACCACGGGTGAATATGCAAGCAACGAAGAAAAGAGCTCGACAAAAGGTCTCCAAGAATTGAACGATTCTATAGTTTGATCCAACATGGATCGGAGATGCAAAGCTGAGCAAACGAGACAAGACGAAACGGTAGGATACGTTCACTACCTTAACCAGGACCCAGGATGCGGCAAAGGCTCGGCAGATGTCGCTGTCTTCAGCGTTCAGGTTGCTCGCGGCCTGTTTTGATTCGTCGTTGAAGCGACAACACCGGCACCAATGGCCCCAAACAAAATCGAAATCGGCTCTGAAGTACAACGAGTGAACGAATAGTTGCGGCGTAGATCTCTCACTTGGATTGTGCTGCCCTCCGGCAAGAATCACATTCCATTCCATCAGGGTTTGGATGGCATGCGGAACATGTTTATCGTAGTCTTTTCTTACGAAAACAATGTCGCTCTACCACGATACCCTATCTACTCTGATAGGAGTCAAGTCTCTCACCGAGAATATGCCCGACTCCTCTCGCTCGTCCAGAAGCCGTTCGTAACAATAACATCCCGACAACTGTGTTTCGTCAATCCGTCCGACAAGGAAACAGTTTAGGGGTACATCTCGGCATTCGGGGAAGGCTATCCCCGTTTTGTCAGGAGAGCATAACAATAACTGTTCGTGGCACCAGCCACCCCCAATACCCGACGAAGTTGCAGCTCAAACGAATGATGTTCACTGTCGTACAGTTGAGCGAGGGCGAGGCCCTCTTCTGTGATTACGCTATACCGAACAAGGTATGGAATTCGTCAGGAATCATTGTGAGGTCCCTCGTACTTCCCCTCCCGTACCCGTACCGGGGGATGGACCAATAGTTTCGTCCCCACCGCTCTCCTTTCTCACCGTGGACAAGACGAACTCTCCGCATGTTCCGCCGGGGTCATCCCCGGGCTCCGCGCACTCCAGCGTGTCGCACCTCTGAATGCTTCCCCCTAAGACACAAGGGCAGTGCAGGTCGTCCCCGGCCGCGGGGCAGACGTCTTCCCCTATCCCGCACGCGTCTATTGTGTAGTTCAACGCCGGAGACAGGTAACTGTTGTGTTTCGTCAGCGCACGTGTCGTGCAACACACCGAAACAAGGTTTAAAGTTGTATTGATTGTCGAAGAGAACGGCAGGAGTGGGAAACGACAGGTCAGAGCTGGGGCCTAGGTTGGTGGTAGAGTGAGGTATAGAACGGATTTGCGGGGACAGTGGTCCAAGGTTGGGAGGAGGTGTGTCTCGTTTTCGGGCGACCAGTGTCCCCAAGTGCGGCGATTCATCGTGGAGGGGCACGTGGGAGGGGTGGACAGAGAAAAGCAGCTATCCTCCGGCATTTCGCTTCGGCGAAGCGCGGTGCACCCGGCGCCCCTCCCCGATCGACTTAAGCACTCACCTATCATCGCCCTCTTCGAGTGTGTAGACCATGTACACCGCCAACGGGTTATCGAGGCGTGTCTGGCAAGCTTCATCGATTTCGCCGCGGTAGCTTTGGTCCGGCCGCACGAGAGACAGCTCGTCCGCAACGTCAATCGCCCTCGAATAGTTGCTGAAGTACAACGCCGGTACCTTGTAAGGTCCGCAGAGACAAGTTCGCAAAAGAGTGCGTGCCATTGTGGCGCAAGAGGATTATTGAGTGTGGGGGGGTTGGATCCTCATTCTCGAATGGCTACTCGAAGATGATCCCAACAGGATAACGTGGAGCACGCCTCGAAAGGTTCCTGCCGTTGTCTTGTGAACCAGCATCCCCCCGGGAGTTCTCAGAGGTATGTAGATGGACGATGTTTTAACAATTGCGAGAAAGGTATACTGTAATTTTGGCCCATGGCCGGGTCACCCCCAGGACGCATACACGCTATATTGCGGTCTTCCGTTGCGTTCAGGTCACCTTCCAGACACATTTAACACGTTTTCGACGGTTCGATACAACGTCAATGGTATGGGGGTCTCGTCATGCTTGGTGAGACTTACGGTACCAAATGACATTCTGGCGTCTCACCGGCAAACTTGTGACAGCGCAATTCTTGCAATGGTTGGCAGTAGTACCGAGTGGGTGCTCGACTGAGTGTTGGTGAAAAAAATTTCATGAAAACATTTACACCCATCCATGTAACCGCGGCAACAACAACATCAGCACGTTGAATGCCTCGGACGTTATGAGAACGCGTCGTGGGGCGGTCAACACGTCAGGTGAGAAACGTGAGCCTTTCAGAGCGAGAGAGATAACATCTACAACCCACACATTCGATCTAGGGCGGCCACAAAGTGATTCCTTTTGGGATATTCTTTTATGGAGACGGCGTTCTTAAGCAGGGGGTGTTGTCAAAGAGAGGGTGCTCTCACAGGATACTGTGGCACACCAAGCTGAACAATTCGTCGGGTGAACAAGACTTCACTGGGTTGGCGTTTCGACCACCATGATACACGTTTCCTGAAAAATGGCCAAACACCAGAACCGAGCAACCCAGCAGAACACTTACGAGAATAGACACAACAATATAACAATAAACACGACCCCTGTTCTTTTAAGGCGGTTTGCCTCAAGAAAATAAGCTGCGATCGATGCGCCGACTTCATACCTCTAGCTGGCAGTACGTGATCTTGGGGATGATTTGCGCCCAGTGGTCTTGAATGCCGGTGGTCATCATCACTAGGGCAAAGGCGATCGTTAGGGCCATCAATGACACCAGCCCAGTCACGTTATGTCGCATTCGCCGCTTGAACTTGGAGAACTCCAGGTTCTCCCAGATGATGTTGTCGGGCTCGGGCGCTTTCACCACCTGGCACAAGGAGTTGGTCGAGAGTCATGGAAGACATGGTTGAGCACGGCCGGCGGCCTTTTGAGTCGCGGAGAAGTGGGTACCTGTCTTTCTCCAGGTGGGTGTTGTGGAAGTTTGAAAAAGAACAGTCCTTTCGCCTCGGGCCCTACAATACTTGAAAACACGTAACCCCGCCTGTCTTACGGTGGGAGTGGCTGGGCGAGACGGTGAGGATTCGAGACGTCCACTGTATACGTCATTGCTATCTACACACTGTGCTTTCCCCCATCACGTCATCTTGATTCCTGTGACCTAGCCAGTAACAACGTCCAGGTAAAAACGCTGACAACCTCTCTACAGTTCTTTGACACTCTTCTCCCCGTACCTTGAGTTTATGAATCCCTTGGAACTTGAGCTCCTTGGGGTATTTCTTGAATCTACTCAGCGAGGAAAAGTCTTCCATGCATCGATGAACGCTCAGAGGATGGTTGAACACGATGAACGCCCCCACACAAGCCTGCCAAATGTCCATCAAGGGCGCTCAAACTGTTGACACGAGTGGATATTATTCAACATCAGACGCCAACCCTCTGTGGCCGTTGGCTTCGTTGAAAGGAGCTCTACGTCGCTTGGTATTTCAGGCAGGGGGCGATGGCAAAATTCTTTCCCTTCATGCAGCACACGTAAAGTCGTCGAATACGAAGACCACAGATTGGCAACCATGCTTTTGTGGAACAGTTGAGACATTGTAGACTGTAGCTGCTCGCCGGACACGTAGAAACGCACCCGCTCGTGCCTCCATACCGAAATGCCTGCAAATCGACGAAGTCAGCCAATGGTCGCCCGCCAATCGAACTGACACAACCTTCGAGTAATTATGTTCGATCACATGTCCTCCAAAGGGTTTATTTGTTTCCACGATATTTCGTATGCCAGACTCGATCTCCACAAAGTCTACCAGAGTATGCCCAATAGTCTCTCCAAGGCATAGGTCCGAAACGTTTCCGTGAAAGTTTCATGTCGGTGTTGCACCAGAGATCTTCTCTGTTTCCTGTACCCGTCTTCCATATCGACTTCCTGGATAGAACAATGAAGGGGCTGTACCTGCTTGCCGTCGATATCCTGCCGCATCTCCATGATTTTATCGGTCGTCTTGGCTATTCGTTCCCCCAGTTTGTCTGCTGCTTTGACGGCCTTCGAGAACTTGGACTCGTCGGCTCCGGCTCCTTCTTCCAAGGGAGTTCCCTTTGGAAATGAATCGACATATAACAACGAGGTGGGGGAGAGAAGACTGAGACTTAAATGTCTCGCGCCGTCGTGCCTCGTGTTGCACTGCAACATTGCGACAATGTGCCAAACCCCACCTGAGATCGAGTTCTTGACA